GGCTGTGTGTATGTGTTTGTGTGTCCACTGCACTGAGAAATGCCATGATCTATGATGTCACCCAGCTTCAAGTGTGGACAGCTGTTTAATTCCCTTGACTATTTATACAGCTGTTCTGACCAGAACAGTAACAGCTAGCCACATACAACCATTTCAGTTTGAATTGAAACAAATTCCAATCAAACACAATTTAAAATTCATCCCCTTGGGTAAACGAGGCACACTACAAGTACTTTCAGGGTAACCCTATGAAATCTGATGCTACCGTGGTAGACATGGCTGCTACGGAATACCGCTGTCACTACAGGAAATTCTGTCTGAAGATAGTCTCTCACCTTCATACTCCATCAGAGTCTCCATGTATGAAGGGACCAAAATCCCATGCATCTGGGTGGTTGCAAGAGCCCCTATAAGCATCTCTGTTCCCTCCCCACTAGTTGAAACCCCATTGCTTCCATCTGCCCCTTCAGCAGAGTTCCTGTCTTCCTCCCCCTTGCTCCGGTCCTTTCTCTTCTGTCAATGTAGTCAGCACAAAACAAGCCCAAACCCTTAAACATGAACCAGGAAGCAGCAGGAGTCCACTGTCTTTTCCACCCTGCCCTGTGAAGGAGAGACGCCCTTCTCTTCTGCAGCTGATGATACTCCCTGATAACACCCCTTCATACTGGAACCAGAGTCCCGGTGTTTGAAGCAGAATCAACTTCCCTACATCTGCATGGGTATTAGCTATACACTAAGTTTGAGAATCAAGAAAATAGCCTCTCAGGGTCAGAGCCTGGGGCTGAGGAACCCAAGTCAGAAGGGCTGTCAGGGTGATGTGTGGCTTTTCTAGACAAGCCAGTTTTCCCATCAGATACCCTTTGATTTTTGGCTGTCCCAATTAAAAAAAAAAATCCTATGTTTTGTAGGGAAAAAAATAACGTTTTTCCTTTAATAAAAACAGCTTCAATAGAAGATTGGTTTATCAGTTAATCACTACAAATATAGTGTCTTGAAAAAAGATTTATATATTTTTATTTTAGGTTCATTTGTAGTTTGCTGGCATGTATGAGAATGTCAGATCTACTGGAAATGGAGTTACAGACAGTTGTAAGCTGCCGTGTGGTTTCTGGGAATTGAATCCGGGTCTCCTGGAAGAACAGCCAGTGCTCTTAACCTCAGAGCCATCTCTCCAGCCCCGAAAAAAGTTATACTTAATATTTCCAAGGTTCCAAAGTTCCAAATCAAGATGTGGGCAGCAGGGCCACACCCTCTCCAGCTGGAAAGGAGCTGCCTTCATTGCCTCTTTGAACTCCTGAAGCCCGAGGCTCTTGACTAGCAGCCATTCTCTGTGTTCGTCTCCCTCCACATGGCCTTCACTGGGTCTCATGTCTCTGCCTCAGCCCCCTGTTTGTTCTCTTTTAAGATGCAGGTCATTGTGGGGAGCCCACCTAAGCTAAGTCCAGGCTGAACTCAGGGATCCATAGTGCCATTCAGTCTACAAAGGATGTTCTGAAATAAAGTCACATTGACAGGTATTATGTAGAATTTGGAAGTCACTTTTGACTTCCAAATCAGGGACCCTTGACCCAACCCTTTCCCATAGGAGAAGTGAATAGGAGATCTCTGATAGCTGGCTGCCTGCCACCTAGTCCTTGCATAAGCTAATTTGGTTTGTTGGGTAGCCTTCCGTTCTGAGTATTGGGTCATTTAATTTCACCTCAGATCTCTAAGAGAAGGTAATGTATTCCCCCCAATTGCCCTTCTTTCTGTATAGCTGACTAGACTCCCTTCAGGTGGGATTTTGCCTATTGATGAACACAGTCATTAAGAAATAAGACATAGTTCAAAAGGAAGGTATTTGCTGTAGCTAGAGTTTTCTTGCCTTGCCCAGAGTCAGGACAAATCTTTGTCACCCGCCAGTCCCACAGCTGCTCAGACCCAACCAAGTAAACACCGAGACTTATATTGCTTAAAAACTGTATGGCCGTGGCAGGCTTCTTGCTAACTGTTCTTATAGCTTAAATTAATCCATTTCTATAAATCTATACCTTGCCATGCGGCTCGTGGCTTACCGATATCTTTTCATGCTGCTTTTCCTGGCAGGCGGCTGGCAGTGACCCCTTCTGCCTTCTTGTTCTTTTATTTCACCTCTCTGTTAGTCCCGCCTATACTTCCTGCCTAGCCACGGCCAATCAGGTTTTCTTTATTGACCAATCAGAACAATTTGCCATACAGACCATCCCCCAGCACAGCCAAGTGCAGACCATCTCAGACACATGCACTCAGGCTCGTGGTCCTAATCATCCTCTATGCGGACCTGCTGGGTAAAGCCATGAGGAACCCAAGAAGGGCTCCCACAGGACATACAGAACATCCCACAGCAATTTGCCATTCTTTAATTTTCATGGAGTTCCTAGCCTTTAAAATAAAAATGTATAGATTTAGAAATTATTTAAGCACATGGATGCATATGGAAAATGACTAGAAGCAATTGTCAGAGAGCAATTTGAAGGGACAGACAAACCTTTCCCTTTTAACTGGCAGTGCGACTTAGCTTTTCCACAGTCAACATTCATTACCTTTGTGATTAGGAAAGCAAACATTTCTAAAACATAGGTCAGCTTTAATGGTGTTTTAATATATTTGCTAGGACTATTTGCATTTTTCAAAAGCAAACCATGGTGGCTCATGCCTGAATCCTTGTACTGGAGAAACTGAGGCAGGACAATTGCTAAAAGATCCAAGGTCAGCCTGGGCTAAAGAATAAGATCCTGACTCAAAAAACCTCACCAACCAACCAACCAAACAAACAAACACACCAAGAAGAGTCGGCTGAGTGGTGTTCTAGGAGCAGGCCATTGATTGTTTCCTGTTCAGTGTAGATGGGATGGAAGTTTTAGAGTGATGTTAACTTTGTCAATTATTCAGGACCTCACAGACTGCACCAGGGAAGCTAGCTGCCTGGGAACTTAGTGGGAGCATGGGCCCTCCCCTCTGCCAAGTGGCCTGATGAACCTCCACACGGACACTGCCTTTGGTTAGGGACTATTCCAGAAAATTCTCCCACCAGGAATTCCATTTGACTCTGGCAAGCATGTGTCTTTATGGTCTGCACCCTGTTTTGATGTGGCCCGTGCGTCTGTTGTCTTTGTGAGGACAATGCACATCTCCAGCAAATGTTTCCAGCAAAGTATCAGGCTCTTTTGATCGGCTTCACAATTGAACGCAATTTGCTCCAAGGGAATTTCCCTATTTTGGCTTATAATATGTTGATGAATTATTGAAACTTCAATTACTTTTGGTTCCCAAGATAGCAGGGTAGTGATAGCCCAGACATTCAGTATGAAAGCTTTCTATGAGAAGCTCTTATAGGGGGCAGGCGGGGGGGGGGGGGGGGGGGGGGGGGGGGGGGGACATGGACTGGATACCTGCTCTCTGCCCTTGCCTGGAAGGGCTGTAGCAGCAAGACCAAACCCCTGTGGTATGGGGGTTTGGCTCTGCTCCGCCTGTGTGTGAGACCATAATGCTGTATAGCCTTGGGTCAGCCGCTCAAGGAATGCCTCCCTGACACCCAGCATTTACATCTTTGGATGTAATGCTCATTAGAGGTACAGAGTCCTGGCTTCATGCAACATCAATAAATCTGAACCACAGCGGGGGGGGGGGGGGGGGGGGGGGGGGGGGGGGGGGATCTGCCACCTAGGTTTCAGACTAGCCCTGTAAGGGGGATCTGGTAAACCATAAAGTTTAGAAAACCCTACTCTAAATGTCCAAGTATGGCTTCTTGGTGTCCAAGTCTGATGCTTCGTTCATAAGAAGTTTTCAGTGCTGCAGTCAACCTGAAGTATAATAAACCAGGTTTGATAGCACGTCCCTGTAATCCTAGCACTCAAGAGGTAAAGACAGGAAGATCAGAAGTTCAAGGTCCTCTTGGTTGCATAAATAAGTTTGATAATAGTCCTTATACTCTGATGATAAAAGTGTGCCCATGGTTATCAGAAAGGTAGCAACTGTCCTCATTTGCTGGGATATTTCTCCCATTGGTCACAGAGCAGTAACCACAGATGAGTGAGATTTAGACATTCATTGTGGTGTGATTGTGTCACTTTATTTTTTAATGTTATGTGTATGGGTGCTTTCCCTGCATGTATGACTGATCATCACATGTGTGACTAGTGCTTATGTAGGCTAGAACAGGATATCTTGTCCCATGGGACTGTAGTTAGAAATATTTATAAGCCTCCACGTGGGTGCTGGAATCGAACCCTGGTCTTCTGGAAGAGCAGCCAGTGCTCTTCACCGCTGAGTTTTTATGCTTCCCACTGTGCCAGGGATGCTCCTAGCCTTGGCTGTCTGGAGGAACGCTGCTGGTACCTTCACTGTCGCTCTATCCTGGTCTCACCCCTCTCCCAAAGCCCCTGTCTCTAACAACACTTTGTCCAGTACTGTATATCTTCCAGACACTGTGCAGACAATTCTATTCCCCAACCCCACCCTACCCCAGCCATTCCTCTGCTAAGCATACCCGTGACACTTTCTCCTACATAACCCAGGTCTCCTGTCACGTGCATACCCCCTTACATTCTCTGGAGTACTTCAGGTAGAGACAGGGTCTTTCCATGTTCTGCTGCCTTGGAGCGACTGAGAATGATATTTCTAGCATTTGTGTGTATGTGTGTGTTAGGACTCTTGTTCGCTACCTTGTGTGGGCTCCAAGTTTCCTAAGGCTAGCAATCACATCCTTATCTACACTGCTCACCATGGCATCGGGTGCTTCTCTGCTGTATAAACAAGCACTCCTTAATGGTGTGCCTCCTCCTGGATTGGAAGCATCCGGTGCTGAGTTGGCATGTTCTCCTTCCTGATTGGTCAGCAGTGACTCCCCTTAAGGATACAGTGGCTTCAGGGGACCTGACCAGCTGAGCATCACAGTTGGAAACGTTGCCATTGACCTCCTGGCTCTTTTGCTCTTCGACCTGGGAAATCACCAGCTCTGTCTAAAGGGATTATGGTTTCAGGTCCGAGAGCTCCAAACTCGACTGCAGAGTGTCCAAGCCACTGGACCTTCGAGCCCTGGTCGCCTTACTTCTGCCAATCGCCCGATTAACCCCAGCACTGGAGAGCTGAGCACCAGCAGCAGCAGCAATGACATCCCCATCGCCAAGGTGAGCTCCCGGGGGGATGCGTCTGGTGGGTCGGAACATTCCTCCTCTGAAGAGCCCAGCTGTGGCTGAACCCGCCATTGGGCAGACATACCAGTGCACAGACCCTAGAGGCTTCCCCTGGGACTGAGTGTCAACCCTCTCAAGCCAAGCTGCAGGGAGAGATAACCCACTAATAGGTTTAAGTCTCTCTCAGTTGCAACCTGTATAACAGCCCTCATTAATCAGCCTGCTGGAAAATGTCACAGCTGACAGGCCATTGTGGAGAGTTTTGTCAAGTGTGACCTCGCAGTGGATGGGTACTTGCTTTCAAGGAACTAAGGTTCAGCCCTGAGGGGACCCTGAGTGATAAAGCAATCATTATCCCCCTCAGAAGACTGACAGCTACGCCAGCAAAAGAAACACATCACAGAGCTAAGTGTGGAGTTGTGTGCCTACATGTAATTCCAGTGAGGAGGCAGAGGCAGGAGGATCACTTTGAGTTCCAGGCCACCCAGGGGTACATAGTGAGACACTGTCACAATAAAGAAAAGAAAAGAAAAATACATCATTACCACTGTTCTCTGCCGCAGCACACAATGCTTTCATACGATCTTCTAAAATGAGCCTGTCCTGTGGTATAAATGGCAGGTGTCTTCCTGCCTGGCGGCCCTGATAGTCTCCACAAAATAAAACCTTTCAGTTTAGTGAGTTAGGTGAAACCACTGTTTCTCAACCACAAGTGATTTTTGTCCCCTAAGGAACATTGTGAATGGTTACAGCTGGCGTGCTACTGGCATCTTGTGGCTAGAGTCCAGAGATGCTGCACAATAGTTCACAGAGGGCAGAAGATCTCTTCCCTCCCCAGGCTGTCCAGCCCCAAATGTGCTGAGCCTGAGAAGCCACATTTCAAGTTTATGGTAGCAAGGCTGAAATCACTGAATTGTTTTGATGAATCACTTTAGTTGACCTGGCTAAAAATTGTGTAAGCATGGCCTCAATGTATGTGGGGGAGTGGTGTGGACTTTCTGATATTTATTTATTTAGTTGTTTATTTATTTATTCATTTATTTTAAGATTGCTGAGAGGGTGAAGCTATCAAAGACAAGATCTGAATCATCGTCATCTGATCGGCCAGTCCTGGGATCCGAAATCAGTAGCATTGGGGTGAGTGTCGGCGAGGGGTAGGGGAAGAAAGAACCTAATACAGCCGCACAGACTATGGTTCCTAGAGGATGGAAAAGTCATTGTTCACTTCCAGTTTATCAGTTAATTATAAAATGAATCCTAACAGTTTCATTCCACAGAAGCCAAGTGAAACGTGTAAAGTTTCTAAATGGTGAATTGCTACTTCAGCTTTAAGGGAGATCTCTCTCCCACCCCGCCCCCAACCCCCACACACTTGAAATCTTCCAAAAAAGAAATAACATTTATATAGTTACTTGGTGATGTCAATGAATGTCTGGAGATATCTGCTTTATATCACCTTGCTCCACAGAGACCCAGGGAGTTGGAAAACTCCAAAAGAACTGTGTCTTTGCACACACATCTTGAAGGGAACACACTGTCCAGGGACAGGGAATGCTGTTTTTGAAGTGTGGCCCAGAGCTAGCGGAGAATGGACAGGATCTGCCTGTTTAGTATGAGAGTCTTCATAGCTGGAGCCTGGAACCCGCAGGGAGTGAGACTCATGGCTGGAGAGGCGACAGGGGAACAGTTTCAGTTCTTTAAGGAGGATGTTTTAGGATTAGGCATGAAGCTGGGAGAGCTAGCCTTTTGATCCTAGGGCAAGAGGAGAGAACCTAAAAAAAAAAAAAAAAATCCCAAAACTCCCTTTAATTTCCTACTTGGAAGTTTTATACTAAGCAAACATCACATGCATTCAGATTCTGTGTCAAAACCCAACTGTGAGGATAAAGGGAACAGCCTCTCTTTGGGGCCACAGTCACCAGAGACTATGACTCGAGAGTGCCAGGAGTCCAGGGTGAGGGAAGGAGGCCCAGACTGTATTTAATGTCCAGAATTTTCAGTACTCCAGAACTGATCTTGCCTGCTTGTTGATTCCCAGCATCACTTTCTTAGGAGGTGCAGCTGCGAGCTGATTGAGTTTCATGTAATTCTTTCACACTTGTTTTGAATGCTCGAGTTATACCAACCGAGACCCATGAGACTCAGAAGAGTAACCATCTCCTGGTGCCAAATTCTTAAAGCATTTTGTCTTTAAGCTGTTGTATGTGCAAATTGTGCCTGGGGACCAGTGCTCCTGACCTGGCGTCTCTGGTGGGACTTACGTTCCTTGGTACAGGTTTCCAGCAGCGTGGCAGAACACCTGGCCCACTCACTCCAGGACTGCTCCAATATCCAGGAAATTTTCCAAACGCTCTACTCACATGGATCTGCCATCTCCGAAAGCAAGATTAGAGAGTTTGAGGTGGAAACAGAGCGTTTGAACAGGTGAGAGCAACGTGGTGTGTTTCATTGGGGGCGGGGGCGGGAGCTGCTCCCCACCCCTCCTTCTAAAATTTCATCCAAACTGGCTTGAGAGCTGTGACCTCCAGTGAGATGGCCAGGCTGGTCATCTGGGATTGAGATGGAGGAGAGCTTGTGGCAGTCACGATCAACTTCACAGGGCTGGGACACACGTTCACACGGGGTGGGGGTGGGGTGGGGGTGGGGGTGGGGGGGCTCATCCTTAGAACGGTTGTGCAGACGCATTCTGTCTGACTCTGCTGTTACTATTCTAAATCCTTAATAGTTGGTGAACAAGGGGCCCCGCCTTCTCATTTCACTTTGGACCCTTCCAAGTATGTAGGGAGTCCTGGGTGCAATCCATAGAGAATGTCAAGTAGGTCATAGATGGCTGCCAACTGTATGGGGCTGTGCTGCAGAGAGTCACAGTGGGAAGTCCTGGAATGTTGAGTCAGTGTCTGGGGGTGCTTGTGTTTGCCAGAAGGAGCACAGACAATGTGCTGGAGCCCTTCTTGGCATTGGCCCCGCACATTGGTTGAATTCTCTGCTTCTTCTGAGGGTGGACTGATTTCCTTTTTGCTCAAGCATAAATAGGATGTCCTGATCCTATCCTAACTGGACGAGTTTGCTGTATAACAGCTTTATGCGTTCTTCCCGATTCTCCCGCAGTTGGAGTATGCACTCCTGCCTCTTGGCAAAGACAGGCTTGAGTGTAATCTTAGTGATGAGGGAGCTGCTTCAAAAGCTAAGAAGTGCCGTAGCCAAACCCGCTAATCACCCTGACTCAGACTCGATTCCATGATAGCAGAATGGCCGGCTGAACAGTCTCCAGGAATGATGTGGCTGCCTTGACTTAGCAGTCTTCAGTGAGAGCGCAGGAAGAGCTTGGAAGGCTCATGAGCTAATCAAGAAGGAATGTGAACGCTAATTCCCATCTATCATTACCGAATTCCATTCCTCTTGTGTGTGGCAAAATGGAATAAATCAAACTAGCTTGTTACTCCCCGCTGATAGGAAGCTGTTTTAGTCGTGGAGAACAAAAGGAATGTGGTGATCTAGGTCATTTTAACGATTATTTTCTTAAATTAATGTACATGTGTCTATGTCTGTGTGAGTATGAGCATGTGAGTACCAGGTACCTGTGGAGGCCAGAGGCATCAGATCTCTCTGGAGCTAGAGTTACAGGAGCTTGTAAGATGCCCAGCATAAGTGCTGGGAATCGAACTTGGATCCTCTGCAAGAACAGCATGTGCTTTCCTTTTTTTTTTTTTTTTTTTTTTGGTTTTTCGAGACAGGGTTTTTCTGTGTAGTCTTGGTGCCTGTCCTGAATCTCACTCTGTAGACTAGGCTGGCCTCGAACTCACAGAGACCCACCTGGCTCTGCCTCCCAAGTGCTGGGATTAAAGGTGTGCGCCGCCGCCGCCGCCGCCGCCGCCGCCGCCGCCACCGCCACCACCACCACCCAGCCAGTATGTGCTTTTAACTGATGAAACATCCCTCCAGTCCAATCACTTTTAAATCTTGAAATTAAGTGGTTTCCTTATTAAATCCAAAGTCCTTTACAGTGCCAGTCCCGAGGATCACCTAGTAACAAGGCAGCAGCATTTTTCTCCACTAGCCTAGAACTGCTTAGCCCTGAAGCAGATATGCCCTTCGAGACTGAAGGAAGCCATGTGTCTTTAGGGGGCCCCATGCCCATATGCCTTAAGCCTTTAGCTGAAGATCACTTCTCTGGGATTTCAAAGGTCTGCTTTGTTGCTGAACTTGCATATTCTTCTCAGTAATATGCACCCAAGAGAGAACAGAGAAGGGGTGGGTACTATTTAGTACTCGAAGCTCAGGTTATGTGTTCAGCAGCACACAATGGATGCTCACAACAGATGTTGACAATGGATTCTCACAGAAAACCTCTTCATGTTCAACTTGTGAGTCTAAGGCTAGTCCCTTGCAAATGAAAAAGAAATAAATAAAAGCTTTGAGGTTGAAAGTTAAGTGATGAAGTCCAGAGGAGTTATTTAACAAAGGCAGAATTTCAGACCCTGCCCTTTGCCCTAACCTGTAGATGTAACCAACCGTCTTATTAAATAAGAAACACAGAACCAATGTAAAAGAGAAAGTCAAGAGATCAGAGCTCAGAGCTAAAATCTCACCCTTCCTCCTGCGGTGGTCCCAGCTTCCTGAAAAAGAGCTATTTCCCTGTGTGTAAGTCGTTTCATAGTCATTCTGCCTTCTCATTGGTTGTAAACCCAAACACGTGACTGCCTCGTCACTGTCTGTATGCACAGCCCCCCAGGTCTTAAAGGCATATGTCTCCAATGCTGGCTGTATCCCTGAACACACAGAGATCTATGGGATTAAAGGCGTGCGCCACCACCTCCACACTCTGTCTATGGCTCTAATAGCTCTGACCCCTGAGCAACTTTATTTATTAACATACAATCAAAACCACATTTCAGTACAATTAGAATACCACCACACTAACCCTGTTGTCCAATGATCATGGCTGTGTCCTGGAACCTGGGGCTTCTTAGAAACACTATGCCTTAATGACTATTTTTTAATCGTCTCAACATTAAAGTCCTAATATTCTCTTTTAAAAAATGCTAGCCTTTGGTTCAGATTTTCTTGGGGTAGGGGAGCACACTTACTCAAAACTGTATTTACACATGTTGCACATCTGTGTTAAGCGCCTACTGTGTACTATGCAACATGAAAAACAAATCAAAGCAGAGAAGGCCCTTAATCTCATGAAGCTTATATTCTGTTAGGAAATACAGACAAAACACAGTAGAGGAAGTTCCAAGAAAAGACGTCTCCAAGACCCTGAAAGAGTCAAGAGTTCTTTACTTGTTAGTGTTGTCACTTTGGGTGCTGGAGGTTAAAGCCAGGACACTGTACAAGCTTTCCAACCATTCTACCACCGAGCTATGTCCCTTACCTGAGGTTGTTCCTTGACAAGTGGCCTGGTAAGGTGTCTCTAAAGAAGGAAGGTTTGTCTTGAGGTTTAAAGGAAAAAGGAGCCACGATGACAAGGCTGGAAGTCTTAACCTCCAGGCTGGACAAAGGTGATGTAAAGGAGGAACTATACAAGCAAGGGGGTGGGGCACCAGACAATGGCTAGCATGGAGAGGATGTACAGGAGGCAAGGGAGAAGCAGTCACCAGGCAGCGGCTGGCATGGATGCAGATTCGGATTCCACAGCAGATTTTACTCTTTAGCCTAAATATAGTCGGAAGGCATTTTTCCACGGGAAGAACAAAACCTGTTCTGCCTTCTGGAGCTTAGAGGTAAAGGATAGCAAGAGTGGGAGCGGAGAGATGTCTGTGATGGGCCAGGAGGCACAGAACATAATGGGTTCAGGATATGAGAAGCCTCATTAGGTCTGACTGTAAGGAAGGGTCTCAGGGATGCTCCCATGCTAGCCTGTGGTGTTAGGTGAATGGTGGTGGTGACTACTAATATGGGGAAGGTGAAGGAGAGCAGGTTAAAGAAAATTAAGCACCCCTTTCAGTGTTAAATTGGAGGCAGTGTGTGACCCACCACACCCCCCTGAATGGAAATGCCAGGAGGCAGCTGATGTGTGGGACGGACACTCAGAGGGAGGTGTGGGCTAGAAACGATGGGACGCCATGGAAACCAAAATGCTTCTTGGAGTCACAGATTGGATAGAACCACCCCTAAGGAGAGTGTTGACAGAAGATGGGACCCCAAGCCTGAGCCCCGAGAAACATCAACCCTCACAGCCTTTACATTCAGAAGAAGGCCAGCCAGAGTGTTCTGACCTGAGCAAGGAAGGTGTTTCAGGCAGGGATGGTTCACACTCAGCCACATGGAAGTCAGTCATGGGGTAAATGGCTTCTAATTAGCAGGGACCACTCCACTGGAATCATAAATGAGAAAGTGGCAACCATTGGAAGAAGCCAAAATGAACAAAAGCAGAAAAGTGTTTGTTAGAAATACCTTACTCACTATGGCCCATAGGAGTCTTCATGACTCTCCCAGCAGATATGTCCCCTCTAGGAATCTCTATGCTGCCCTAAAATTTATGCTCAAGGCCAGTGGCTTCCACACTCCCACCACCCTCAGGAGTCTCTTGCAGTTTCTGGGGTAAACCCCAAGTCTCTCGAAGACTTGCTGCTATGAAGACAGTGAAAGAGTGGGTTCTGTGGAAAATGAATGACCACAACCAGATGTCTTAGGACAGAAAATGGAGAAGCTAAAGGGTTAACATTTGTTTTCTGGCTTTCCCTCAAACTCATTAGTTAGAATTTACAGTTCTGAATCTAATATAAACCTCAAAGTTCTTACTGCTGATTATATTAGTCACTGGTATTGCTAGACATCCGACCTAGAAGGCCCTTTGGACATGGTCATGGGTCTCTGTAGACAGATTTTTCTTCCCCTCCAGTTAGTTCCCAAATAACCACACAGTGACTTAATATTAATTATAAATGCTCAATTGATAGCTTAGGCTTGTTTTTAGCTAGCTCTTATAACTTAACCCATTTCTATTCATCTATATGCTGCCCCAAGGCTCATTTGTTTACCTTATCTACATAGTTCCCATCCTGCTTGCTCTGTGTCTCATGGCGTCTCCTCAGACTCTGTCCTTCTTCTCCTCAACATCCTCTCTGCCCTAAAAATCCTGCCTAGCACATTGGCCAATCAGCTTTTTATTAACAATGAGAGCAACACATCTTCATAGTGTACAGGATTATTCCACAGCAGGTCCCTGGTCCATTACCCACTTAAGGACAACCTGGTGGCATTTTCCTGATTGCTCACCAGTTTACCTTTGCTAGTGCTCTGTAGGGTGTGGTTAAGAGCAGGGAATCTGGGCTGACCAACCTGGTTAAGTTCCAGGTCAAGGAACTTGACCTTTCAGTACCTGTATCTCCTCATCTGGATGACAGGGGTCATCACACCTGATTGGGCAGGCTCAGTAAACAGCAGCCCTTATGACCAAGGTGTGGTTTATTGCCCCAGGCAATATGGCTTGTTGCAGCATAGTTGGAGTTACTCTGAAGAGCTATGGGGTGCCAGAGCTGTTGCTTTCTTTAGTGTTAGAACCATGGCCTCACACAGTACAGATGCATGGCATAGGCGAAGCATAGCTGGATACCAGTCTCATTTTGTTGTTGTTATTGTTTGTTTTTTGAGTCAGAGTCTCTCTACATAGCCATGGCTATCCTGGAACTCACTGTGTAGAGCAGTTGGCCTTGAACCTAAGGAGATCCACCTAACTCTTGAGTGCTGAGATTAAAGATGTGCACCACCACACTCAGGCCCAAGTTTTTGTTTTTTATTCACACTGAATTTAATGATTGTTTTGTGTAAGTTATACTTGCTAAAATGCCCAAGAATGCCATATCATGTGTGTGTGTGTGTGTGTGTGTGTGTGTGTGTGTGTGTTGTGCATACAACTTCATGCACATCTGTGTATGTGTAGAGGAAAAGTAAGCACCAAGCATCTTTCTCAATCACTCTTTCACCTTCTTTTCATGGGGCAGCGTCTCTTACCTGAATCTGGAGCTCGCCAATTTGGTTAGGCTGCCTGGTGAGCAAACTCCATAGATCTCCCTTCCTCACCTCTCCAGGGCTGGGGTTACAGACAACACCACTTTGCCTGGCTTTTAAGTGGGTGCTGGGGAGTGAACTCAGCTCCTCTCGCTCTCACCACAAGCATTTCACTTGACTGAGCGGTGTCTTCAGCCTCCCATATCACCTGTGCGTTATACAGGCATAGGTATCTGCGTGTGTGTGTTTGTCGGTGTTATATGTATGTGCTCCTGTGTGTACTCACCTGTGCACGTGTGTAGAAGCCAGAGGCGGACATTAGGCATCTTCCGCTATGGCTCGTCACTGTCCTAGTTTGTGAGATGGGGCCTCTCAGCAAACCCTGAGCTCACCAGTTGGCTGGGCTGGCCGGCCAGCGGGTCTTCCAGGAAGCTGCTTGACTCTGTTCCCCCAGACCCCCATACCCGTATCACCAGACGTACAGACGAACACCGCCATGCCTGTGCTGGGGGGGGGGTCTACACCCAGGTCCTCCTGCTTGCATGGCAGGCACTTTATCTGCTGATCCCCCCCCCCCCCCCCCCCCGTTACCTTACCATGACTATCCAGCCTACACGTCAGGGAGCCAAGTAAAACGTCAGATCACAGTCCCAGCATGCATGTGTGCAAGTGACATCTGTGTCTCTTTCTCTGTAGCCGGATCGAGCACCTCAAATCCCAAAACGATCTCCTCACCATCACCCTGGAGGAGTGTAAAAGCAATGCCGAGAGGATGAGCATGCTGGTGGGAAAATACGAATCCAACGCCACCGCGCTGAGGCTGGCCCTGCAGTACAGGTGGGAGAGCCAGAGACGGGAGGACGTCCTGGGTGTGCCTTTATTTATTTATTTGTTAACTTATTTATTCATTTGCTGTGTGCATGCACACATGGGTGCATACATGCCACAACGCGTGTGTGGAAGTCAGAAGAGAACATGGGAATCTCTTCTCTCATTGCACTGTATGGGTTCCAGGTTTCAAACCATGGTTGTCAGGCTTGGCAAAAAAGTGAATAAATGTATTTGTTTATTTTTTTCCTGAGTCAGGGTTTCTCTGTGTAGCTCTGGCTGTCCTGGAACTTGCTAACTTGTTTTGTAGACCAGGCTGGCCTCAAATTCACAGAGATCCACCCGCCTCTTGAGTGCTAGGATTAAAGGTATGCACCACCACACCTGGTCTATTTTATTTTTTTTAAATTATCCTTTTGAATTTAAAAACATTTTCATACAATATATTTTGATCATGTTTCCCCCTCCCTCAACTCCTCTCAGATCCTCCCTACCTCCCTAATTACCCAAGTTTTTGTTCTCTCTCTCCCCCCAAAAACAGCAAAACCTCACAAAGTGAAAACCAAATAAGCAAAAGACCAATAAGACAATGCCTAAACAAAATGAAACAAACAAACAAAAAATCCCCTACACACACACACACACACACACACACACACACACACACACACAGAGGCCATGGAGTCTATTTTGTGTCAGCCATGGGCATGGGGCCTGCTGCCCTGGAGTGTGGTTGATAGACCCGGTAAGACTCCACAGGAGAAAACTGACTGTCCCTTTGCTAGTGGGTATCAGTTGCCCATAGCTTCTTGGTTATGGTTAGGGGTATGGAGCCCATGTCCACTTCGGTTTTCAGTGCTTGGAGCCTGTCTGGCTTTAATCTGTACAGGTCTTGCACTTGCCTGCCATGGTTTTTAAATATGGCTTAATGGTCTGGATTTATTGTGGATGGCTGAATCACCTGCAGATTCGATGCCTTTAACCTTGCTCATTTTTCTAAAAGACTGTTGAAGACATCAGGCATTAAAAAAAAAAAAAAACCAACCAAACAAACAAAAAAAACACAACAGTAAATAGCCCAACACAGGTAAGATCTTCAGTCTTTGGAATATTTTCCTTGGGATAAAGTTCCTGAAGCAGGAATTATAGGTCCCAGAAGACATGAGTATTCTCATAGCTCTTCAGACATGTCACCCATTGATTTCCATGAAGAATAAGCCAGTTTAGTAAAGGCCTGGTCACACACAACTTTCCGCCCAGCACTTGGAGGCAGAGGCAAGCCTGTTCAACACAGCAGGTTCTAGGACCGCCAGAGCCACATAGTGAGACCCTGTCTCTAAATAAATAAAAAAGAAAAGGAAGGAAGGAAGAAAAAAAGGCCATTTGAAAAGACTGCAGTTAACTCATCTATAAGTAATAGCACTTTTTGTTTTGATATTGTTTGTTTGTTTGCTTGTTTTTTAATTTTTTGAAAATTACACCTTTTATGTGTTTGGGTGATGGGTTTTGCACCATGGCACACATATACAGGTCAGAAGACCGTTTGCTAAAGTCACTTCCACTCCTTGGGTCCCCAGGTCAAAGATTGTCAGGCTCGGTGGGAAGCACCTTTCCTCACCGCGCACTTTCCTTGGCTCGATTGATCATGTTTAACTCCATCCCTTCTTAAAGCTGTGACGCTGTTGCTGTCCTCTGAGGTTTGTTAGTATTGCCTCATGAGCCAGTTGCCAAAGTCAGAGTAGATGATGGTATCTTAACTCTCAGCATCTTTTACCAATGTTATCTGTCTAAAACAATGTCAGCATAGTCTTAAGAAACTGTGGTCAAAGTTTCACAAACAAAATCAGGCACCATAATGAGACCAAAGCAGGATGGTGGTCATATTGGATTTCAGTTCCCAAGCAAACCAGGAGCTCATCTTCAACAATCTTTAATATGGACCACCCTCTACCTTTGGTCTTAGAGGGTTGCACATGAGCACATCCTGCAGGATGAACCTGCCTGGCACCCTCTGCTTGCCTGCCTTTGCAGGGAGCTGCCAGCACTGTCAGCTGGTGGTCTACCCTCTTCTTCAAGTCTTGGGGAAGGGTGGTGAACATGCAAACAATCAAAACCAGATGGCGCCCCAGCTGAATGGAGATTACAGCACCATTTCCCTTGTTCAACCTGGAGAAACGCATCAGGAATTTGCTCACAAAGGAAACCTTCCTGCGACCAGCCTCTCGTCCATGGGTGTCAGGCGTGTGTGTTCAGTCTCCTGTCTGGACATGGATCTGTGTGTATCTCAGGCCACTGGAAAGGGACCCCGGTGTGTGTGTGTGTGTGTGTGTGTGTGTGTGTGTGTGTGTGTGTGTGTGTGTGTGTGTGTAACAGTATCTCATTATATAGTCGGAGCTGGCTTCAGACTCACAATCCTCCTGCTTTGGAAGATAGAACTGTGCCCTGTCATGCCGAGCCAAGAGGCAGTACTTGGACCTATCCTGTTTACTCAGCGGATGATCAGCATGGAAAAGAATGACTTTTTCCTTCTTTCAAACATCCAAGCCCAGACTCTATGCACAACCTAACAGCACTTCATGAGGCTTTTGTAGGCAGTCTGTATTTGCACTTTCTGTGGTGATGGAGCCATTCTGTGTTGGTGCTCAGTACCGTGGTAACTAGCAACCATGTGATGACTGCACCTGTGAAATATGGCCACTGCAAAAGCCGCCAGGAAGTCTCCCCTTGATTTAACTGGAAATAGCCACATGTAGCCATTGTCTTCTGTACAGTACATATATAGGTCAAAATGATTAGCTCCTGAAGGGGAGTTTTAGTCACTATCGAGGGCTGCATGACAGGTGTGAGGACCAGGCATCTGTGAGTGACGTGGCTACCTGTGCCAAGCCTTTGGTCTCTTAGGCACTTCTGAAGGTCACGTGTCAAGTAGGGCTATGATTTCTGAAAGTTCGGCTGGGGCGCTATAGGCCGGCCTCCTTTCAAGTAGACAGTCTGTCTAGAGGACTCAGTTCTCCCTGGCTGTTAGCCAGAAGTCTTAGTTCCTCTCCTCATGGATCTCTCCATCGGGAGGCCCCTGCTGTCCTTCAGAGAAGATGATCCGAGGGAGAAAGGGAGTGGGAGAATGATCTAGATGGAAGTCATTCAGAGCCTAATGCTGGGTGTGGCTTACCATCTTTTCTAGAAGTTGCGGACACCAACCCTGCTAGAGTCAAGGGACAAAAGAAGAGTATACATAGTGGGATGCAGGCTCAGGAGAGGCTACTGTGGAGGCTGAGTACTGTAGGGGTGTCACATGTCTCTTTGACTGGTCATCAAAGGGACAACCAGTTTGCCCCTCCCTCTTTTATTGCTTCTAATGTATTTTTCTAGAACTTAGGGTTGTTTTGTTGTTCTTGTTTTTGTTTTTTTCAAACATAACAGCAAGCCACTAGTTGGTCCAGGAAGCACTTCTATGTGGAATACTGCTCACTTTGTGGGTGGGGAGGTCGAGGCAGGCCCCGGTGATGAAGATGGCCACCATTCCGTGCCAGAGCTGACGCCATGCTGTACTTCTCTTGCAGTGAGCAGTGCATAGAAGCCTATGAACTCCTACTGGCACTGGCCGAGAGCGAGCAGAGCCTCATCCTGGGGCAATTCCGGGCAGCTGGCGTGGGCTCCTCCCCTGGTAAGTGTGTGTGTCCGTCCCCCCCCCCCCCCCCCGGGTCCCCTCTGTGCTACTTCTCATCTTGTCCCCACTGTGGCTGGCAATGAGTCATCTCCCAGAAACATGAAATCTGCTTGTCAAGTGTGTTTTCCATTTTCACTCCTGACTGAGTGGGTAAATTGTTTACATTGAATGAAGCAAGAACTGGAGTGGAAACAGCATCCCAGACAAGTTAAAACAAACAAGCACTCCGAGGAAATGGATTCTCCCGGGCTGACAGCAGGAGCCGAGGGAGCAGGGCTCACAAGGCTGTTAAAGGGACCAACACATACTGTAAGCAGAAAGAGCGCGTAGGCTTCTTCACCGTGACGCTAAAACTCAGCCAGTGACAGTGCATGGCCTGTACTGGTGTGAGGGGACCACACAGGACAGTGCTGGAGAGGAAGGGCGTTTGCCATACCCTTACTGTGCCCTGGACACACACTCACCTCTGCTTTGTAGAAACAGTTTTTTGGAAGAAACAACAAGTCCATAAAACTCAAACGATCTGGAGCTTTCCAAACCTTCCAAGGTGGGGCCGTATGGGCAGGCCAGGTGTCCCCATGCACGGCCACTAAGCTGTCTGTCTGGGAGTTGCTTTGAGCTGTAAGCTAGGGGAGGGGTGGGAAGGTAATAAATGAATAGCTTCTTAATGGCTGTGTACTTCCAATTGGCCTTGTCCCTCCAGGACCCACTGCCGCAGAGGCTACTCCCCAGACACCTTCTGAGTGAACCCCCATCCATTCCACCTCTCTGTTGTCACCTTTGCAAGGACAGTTGGGGTTTTCCTCCCCTTAATTTTCATGCCCCCGGGGATCAGCATCAACCCTGAAGATGGGAAGAAGCTGAGCATTACTTTTCTTTCTTCTACCCAGGCTCTCTATCAAGGGAGCATTTATCCTTGGGATAGGTGGCCACCCTTCATTCCTCCACCCCACCCTCAAGTCCCATCCCCACCGCCTGGCCCAGCCCAGAAGCAGAAGCTCTGCCAACATTTCCATTAGAAACCTCATTTTTCAGGGTCTTTTAACTGAACCATAAAACTTTACTCCTCATATGAAACAGATCCTAAAATGATCTTGGCCTGCTGTCAAGTTTTTTTTTTTTTTAATATGTATTAAGCAAACCATCAATTAGAGGAGGGTTAAAAAAAAAAATCAATCATGTTCTAGTTTGTATCACAAGATGTCTTAACCTGTTCCATGAGCAAAAAGCATCTTTATTAGGCTGGTGCCTACACAGGGCAATTACTTGGTAGGAGTTGAAATGGCTTAAACAAATCAGTATTAAAACCATTTGCAATAGTAATGAAGTGTTCATGTTTCCCTCATCCCAGATAACTCCTGTAGGCATTTGTATGGTGATACCATGCCTACTTTAGAACAGAGTACAGAGAGCAATCAACTGGTGGAGTATACGTAAGATTCCTAGTGGAAAGAAGGAACATGGGGAACATGGCTGAAAATCAGTTTGGGGGATGTATTTTCAGTATGGGAACCACACGTTACTGAAGAATATTCTCCACGGTGCTACGCAGTGCCCAATTTTAATTCCTGCTGACAGTGGTGGTTGATCTGTCACTCTGCCCATCATGCTGTCTAAGCAAGAGCTGGTTTGTGACATTGACTCGCAGTGTCAATCACTGTGGTTGTCTTTGTTTGTTACTGACTTCACAGGCACTCATGATGTTTACTTGAAAAGGTTTAGCCCAGTGGTTTTCAAACTATAGCTTGGGAAATCGAAGGAGTGTCTTTGGGCCTCAGCAATGGCCACGAAGGGTGAAGAAGCTGCCTGCCCCTCTACCCAACCACATTTATGTTTTTAATGTTCACTAAGGGCATATGCTACCACTGCCTGACTTCAGCATAATTAAAATATCACCACAGTTCACTATTTAAGGTTTCATGAGAAAAACACAGATCTGTGTTTGTATGCATGGCAAGCCAGTGGTTGGTTTGGTTAACACAGTTGTTGTATTGTTTTGAAACTTTCATTCTTTAGAGTAGTATCTTAGTCACTATTATTGTGAAGAGACACCATGACCAAGGCAAGTCTTATGAAAGATAACATTTGATTTGGGGCTGGCTTACAGTTTCAGAGAGTTAGTCCATCATCATCATGGTGGGGAGCATGGTGGCACTCATGGCGCTGGAGCAGTAGCTGAGAGCTACATCCTGATCCAAAAGAGACAGGGGTGGGGGGGGGAAGAGGGAGAGGGAGAGGGAGAGGGAGAGGGAGAGAGAGAGAGAGAGAGAAACAGAGACAGAGACAGAGAGACAGAGACAGACTGGGCCTCTGGCTTGGACCTTGGAAACCTCATAGCCTACTCCCAGTAACACTCTTCCTCCAACAAGGCCACACCCCCTAATCCTTTCAAATAATGCCACTCCCTGGTGACCCAGCATTTAAATGCATGCACCTATGGGTGCCATTCCTATTCAAACCACCTCAAGTGGTTTCAGTTCTCAGCAAAGTTGAGAGGAAATACATAGACTTCCCATGCACATGCACAGCATTCTCCGTGATAATAACAGGTGTACCAGACATCATTGTCATCCAACGTTCCGGTCTCTATCAGAGTTTCCTCCCTGGGTGTGGCAAATGGACGGTGACATGGACCCACCACTGCAGCATTATATGTTGTAGTTTGGTGCTTGGTAGTTGCCATCTCATGAAGACCCTCTTAACTTTGCTTTCTCATTCCTCTTTCTCATTCTACTCTCCCAGTCCTTGAGAACTACCCTTTTTGCCTCTTTGTCTTGTCTATCTGTCTTTTTTCTTTTAAGTTCTAAGAGTCAAACCCAGTGCCTTTTACAGCCTAGGCAAGTGATCTGCCTTTGGACTTTTTTTTTTTTATGTTTATGTATAGCATATGCACATGTTCCTCTGAGTGGATATATGCACTTATGTGGGTAGGTTGGCTTGCACTTGTGTGTGTATGTGTGTGTGTATGTGAAAATCAGAGGTCGAGGTCAGAGTTGAGTGTCATCTTCTATCATGTTCTCCCAATTAATTAATTAATTAATTTTTGAGACTGGATCTTAGTATGTAGCCCTGGCTGGCATGGAACTCGCTATGTAGACCAGGTTGGCCTTGAACTCACACAGAGATCTACCTGCCTCTGTCTCTGCCTCCCTAGTTGTGGAATTAAAGGCATATGTCACCACTTTATATTTTTTGGTGGCGGGGGGCAGGTTGTTTCACTGAACTCCGAGCTCCTCAGTTTGGTTAGGCTGTCTGTCCCTCACCCACCAGGGATCTATCTACCTGTTCCCTCCCCACTCCTCTCTAGTGCTGGAATTATAGATGTGTGCCACGGCAACCAGCTTTTACATGGTTATTGATTATTTCAAGTCATGTCCTCGCGCTTGAGTGGCAGGTACTTTACCGATGAAGTCATCCTCTAAACCTCTTTGAGCTTTTTAATGTCTCCATAGTTCTATCTTTCCCATCACAGCTTTCAAAGTCACACCAGGAATGTGAGTATCTGGAGCAGGGGCTAACTTCATTATCTTGGCTTTAGGCTTCCTACACTCCTGTGCCCTGGCCTAGCCCTGTCACCCAGCTTCTGGAGCCTCCCGAGTTGGCCACCTTGACCAGGCTGGGAGGAATAGTATAGAGAATGTTCCAGTTCCGGTTTGAATGACTTGTTGTATCTCTGTTGCCACCCACGTAACTCTGACAGTGCCGTTGATGTGTGACAATGTGGCATTTTGCCGGCTTCTCCCTGCCCTCATTCATAAAAATCCCACCACACCGGAGACATGTGCCTGAGTGGGAAGAGTCGCCAGCAACCTGGAAATGTGGAAAGTTAACATGTTAGGACTCGACGCCGATGGTGGAGATCATACTGCCCATGAGGATTATGGTACCCACGCAGAAGAACGCCTTCCCACCCCTTCTCAGTTACCCCACTAGCCCAGAGCACAGGCCTCCTCTGTCCTCCTACTCATCACGTCCTCTGTAACCGAGAATCAATTACAGAAGCAGAGCCTGGGCTTTCCTGACTCCTACCTGCGCCCATTAACCCATCGGCTTCTCTGTGATGTAGGAGACCAGCCAGGGGATGAGAGTGTCACTCAGATGCTCAAGCGGGCTCACGACTGCCGGAAGGCTGCCGAGAATGCCGCCAAAGCCCTGCTTATGAAGCTGGACGGCAGCTGCGGGGGAGCCTTCGCTGTGGCTGGCTGCGGCGTACAGCCCTGGGAGAGCCTGTCCTCCAACAGCCACACCAGGTACGACTCACTCGGTGCTCTGCCCTGGGACTCCTCTGCCCGCGGTGGCCTTCTCACTGGCCCACTCTAGGGGACTGTACTGTTTTTTTATTATTCTTTATTCTTTATTATTCTCCATTTCCTGGAATGGCTAATATAGCATGAATTCTAATTGGTCTTAATAATAAAAACCCAGAGTCAGATATCAGGGTGAAAGCTGAAAGATGAGAGAAGCAGAGCAGCCAGCCACTAGAGAGACTTCTTACCTCTAGGAGTCCTCAAGACTGACAGGGCCGAGCTCCTGTCCCCACCTTATCACTTCCTCTCTCTGCCCAGCCATATCACTTCCTGTTACTTCCTCCCAAGTGCTGGGATTGAAGGCCTGTGCCTCCCAAGTACTGGAATCAAAGGCATGAGATCCCAAGTGCTGGGATTCAAGGTGTGTGTCACCACTGCCTGGCCTCTCCTGGCTAGCTCCTCACTCTGATCTCCAGGCAAGCTTTATTTGTTAGAGCACAAACCAGCCAATGCTCACTGCTGCAGACCCAGCCTCCCTTGCGCTAGTTTCAGATTCCACTCTCTGTCTCGTGGCCCTGTCCTTCAAAAGCTCCACTATGGCAAGAGGCTGTGCTCTCATCTCTTTTATCAAGTGACGATGGATGTATTTATAGCACCTCCTAGGCAGGCACTTGATCGTGAACCTGAGGTCAAGTTTACCATCTATGAATAAGTGGGCTCTTGGGAGCAATGAAGAAGAGAGCAGCAGAGACTCTAAAGCATTGTCACTGGTGCAGGTGGCTCTTTCTGGATGGGGCCAGGGCACCGGAATGAAGCCCCTGGTAGCTTTTATTTTGATCATTTCTTGTCACCAAAGCTCCATCGGCTGTAATGCACCTCCTCCCCTTACATGCCAGTTTTCAGACCGGAATGCAGTTGATAGGTTCTTACTGGACTTCCAGCTAGGGAAAGCCAAGGGTGAGTCACCCCATTTTCACAGGTGAGAACACCTTGGCTTTGAGATGTGTAAGTGACTTGTGTAAGAGCAAATGCCTGCTGAGCGGGAAATCTAGCACTTCAGCACCACGCATGGTGTGCTCCTCCTACTCCCCACATTAGAGTAGGGTACCACTCTACTGTCACTGTATGATACAAGTCTGCGTGCATGCAAGCGACGAGAGGTTCATCAGGATCAATGGGCTGTCCAAGGCCAAAGCAAAAGTACTGATGTTTTCCTGATGCCTAAATGCAATTGGATACTCCCCTCTCCCACTGGAGGGAACAACCACTCACCTCAATGTATCCATACCCATAGACTGGACCCCATGTCCCAGGAGGAAGTACAGTCACAACATACTTGGCCACTTGCCTACAAACACAGGGGCTTATTTCTTCCAAGCTTAAGGAGCAGTTGTCTTATTTGGCAGCACATAGATTATAATTTTCCCTTAAAACCATATTCTTCTGTTTAAAAACAGAAGCCTGTGTCCTTCTCCATGCTGTTTGCAGGTATTTATAATCTATTGTTTCTATGTTTAAGTAGATATTCAGTGTTCAGCTTATCAGTGAGAGTCTTCTGTTGAATTAATGAATGTTAGGAGTTGGGTGAAAGGGAAATATCTTGCTTAATTGTCTGCACACCTCTCCGCTTCCTTCACATAATTCTGCTGTTTCGATCTGAGTCAGAGACAGCTCTGGAGTAGGTCAGAAGTGAGGACAGTTCCCTAGCCTTCTATTAGTGGAGAACTGACCTTGAATGTTTGTTGCAGGAGATATCTGAAGTAAAGGTAAGCTTGACTGTTAGAACATTTTCTTGAGAAATTTAATTGTTCATCTTGTATTTCTATAGGTTGAGAGACATTCAGACACAGACTCTGCTTTCAAAAATGAGCTCACTAAAGACTGGCCCTCTAGGGCTCAGTGGGTCAAGCGCTTGCTGCGCAAGCGTGAGGACCCAGGGTTCAAGTCCCAGCACCCACATAGATGCTGAGCAAGCATGATGCCTGCCTAGAATCCTAGTGCTCAGGAGAAGACACCCACATACATACACACACGCGCATACCCACACATGCATGCGGTGGGGGAAACGGGTTTTTTTTTTTTTTTTAACAAATTTTCGTCTCAAATGGATCTTCTCTCAACACAGGTTTTTAACTCTGATTCCACTAAATTGTCCTTTCCCCTCCGACCCCTGTCAGAGCAGTTCAGAAGCTGTACCGGAGAACACACAGGGCATTCACGTGACTCTCCATGATCACAAAACAGACACAGTTGGGTTGGTTTATGATAAACATAGGTTCATACAATGTTCCTAGCCATCGGGTCACAATATTCTCAGTAATTTTATTTATACGCCTTAGAATTCTGGCTCAAACAGTGTCCTAGGAAAATGGAGCTTTCTGAGCCAGGGCCTTTGTGTGGTTCAATACACCACTGCCCTCCTACTGTGGCCACCAGGCGAGATGTGCAGTCAGGGTGTCAGCCAGTGCCACCCAAGGTCTCAGGAGAGGCATGCTCAGGCCAGGTCCCCAGAGGCGCCTGACAGCTCCCGAGGACAAGAGGGTTAATGGCTTTAGGAAGGAGCAACAGAGGGTTAGTTACCCAGCAAAAAGGATCAGAATGATAGTCACCTCTCAGCTGACGCCCTTGGCGGGACCTCAGCATGAAAGCAGAAAGAAAACCTTTCACATTTTAAAGTCATGGCTGCAGATCTATCGGAAAGCGGGGTCATCTTAATGGATGGGGTAGCCAGGCAATGCTGGTGGCCTCCATAGCTTTATCAACAAATCACAGCACAGGCAAATGCACTGGAATGTCAGCGAGTAGAGCTAGGCGTGAGCAAGCCGCCCCCCCTTTGTGACGAGCACTGTGCTTTCTGCTCAGTCTGTGGAGGTGTACTCACTGATCCAAATCCACGAAAGCACACAAAAGCCATAGCAAGTGTGCCCTCCTAGAAATTGGAATGGAGGCTCTTTTGTTTCAGTATAAAATGGGCACATGGCGTGTGCAATCTGTGAAGGGTGATTCAGCCGTGCTGTGAAGCCTCCTCCTGCCTTGGGAACCTAGGATGCTAGCTGGCTAGCCGTGCTATCTGGGGCACGATGCCCAAATTGCAGTGGAGGACAATGGAGCACCAGAAGGACCTGGCCCGCACCCGCTCTACCAGTCCCAGTTAAGATGAAGTTTCATGGGGCAGAGTGGATTAGACCAGTGGAACACTGTCCGATGCAAAGGTGTTGTCCTGGAACCACTACCCAGTTAGGCCAGGTCTCTGCCACCCCCAGCAGCAAGCTTCAAGGAACGAGAGTCACCCAGGCCTGGCTGTTATAGTGCCATGTTATGAAAACAGAGAGGCCCTTCCCCCAGGTATCAGGAGAGAGTGTTCGAAGTGCAGGGGATTGATGCTTGCTAGTGAGTGCCAGCACCCAGCTGAGACATGCTCATCCAGTCCTCGTCACTTTCCTTCTCCCTTCATGTGACTACAGTAGCAATATGAAATGCTTTCTATACTTTTTTTTTTTTTCCTTCTTGAGACTTAACTTTAGGAACTGGTCAAACCCACACATTCATTTTAAAAATCAACAACTAAGTCCTAAGCATTACAAAATGCACACTACCCGATGTGACAGTTCTCCATGCTGGAATCCCCACCAGGACACTGGGTAATACTTTGGGATAGAATTCCATCATATCACTGGGGCTTTATAAATTAAGATTTGGGGTTGCAAAGGACAGAAATACATAAACAGCTTAAGAGGGGCCCTGATTGAAAGGCTCCCGGGCCCTATATGCATGAGATAAATGCCAGCTTAAGGCAGAGGGCTGTCATACTTCTGAGTGGCAAGTCATACAGGTGAGCAGTCACCCACACCAGGCCCTGGGTCCTGCCTTTGTGGCTCCGTGCTGGCTGCATTTTCCTCCTGTTACAGCAACCTTCCCTGGATGACGGAAAATCTGCAGACAACCTGCATGTCTGTCTGACGCCAACTGCTTCGTTAGTGCCATAAGAAAAACCTACCTGGGTGGGCCCTGGTTCTTTTAGTCTCCTGGATGGGTCATCCGGAAGTCAGAGATGGCACCTGGTGCAGAGGAACGGAAGACATGGCATTTGGCATCTAGAGATAGTTTGAATGGTGTGTCAGAAAGCAGGCAGGGTAGGCAGAGGGCAGGGGTTTGTGGGTAGGCAGAGAGCAGGGGTTTGTGGGTAGGTAGAGGGCAGCGGGTTTGTGGGTAGGCAGAGAGCAGGGGTTTGTGGGTAGGCAGAGAGCGGGGGTTTGTGGGTAGGCAGAGGGCAGGGGTTTGTGGGTAAGCAGAGCGCAGGGATTTGTTTTCCTTTTTGAGCCTGGCAGTCATGCACCTCTCCTGGACTGTGGCTGGCAGCTTGAGCAGTGAGTTTCCAGCAGAATGTTCTGGTAATTAGCTGTTGCAGACTAAGCTATCTTTGTCGGAGCTCCATCAGAGCAGAGGGTCACCAAAAGAAACCTATGGCCCTTGTCTGGCTCCTCAGAAAACCAGGGCGAACCACAAACATGGATAGCTGAGTATGCCCGGGCTCTTCCTCTGCAGGCTTTCCTTCCATCCTGGTCTCAGAGCACCTCCAGGCTCTGGAGAGGAGGGATCCGGCTGCCTGCCTGTCGAAAGTGATTTATTCCCCTTGACAGCTGAGCTCATCCTGCATTCCAAGCCGGGAGAGGTAATGGATGGCTTAGCCCTCGGCCTGGCAGCCAGCAGCAGCCCCCGGGAGGCCAGAGGAAGGGCCCGTGGCTTCTCCTCCTTTTCCCATCATCATAATCAAATTGGGCTGTGGAACATTAAGGGCATGAAGCAGAATTGTAATTACCTTCGCCTGATCTGCTCCCCGCTGGTATCCTAGAAGGGAGAGAGGAGAGTTAGGCTGATGGGGCCTGGGCTGTGGTGCTTGCCTTGGAATTCAGCTTTCCCTGTGTAAGAGCAGAGAAAGCGCATAGCCTCCAGTAGGGTAAGATCTGTGGGCCGGGATATCGGTGCTTTTTTTTATTCATGTATAGCAAAGACAGTAGAAACCAAAACTGTCCTTTCTGGCCAGTGACCAACTCCAGGTCCCAGCAGGCAAAGGAACCCAATACTCCCTGCCCACTAATGTTCTTCCAGATGGGTCTAGGTAGTCTCTGAGGCCTTTGAGAACTGGCTTCTTGTCTCCTCCGTTGCAGCTTTTCTACATGAGGGCAGGTTTCTAGACTCTAGGGAACACTGAGGCTGGTGGTGGGCCTCTTTACTCAGCTGCCAGGGAAGTGTCCCTTATCCTGCTCCTCCCCCAGAATGCACACAGGGTGGGCACCACCAGCTGGTCCTTCCCGGCTCTGGGAGGTAGGAGCTGCCAGAGTTTCTGTTGACTGCAGCCAGAGGAGTTAGGCAATTCCCTCTGGGCCGTGAGGCTGGGGTGTGCCAAAAGAAGCCTGTGCAGGTGTGACCGGCTTCCGAGGCCCTGCCAGCAGTCACGGGCATCCACCGGAGCAGTTCAGTACATAGCAGCCCCACCCCTAGGAAAAAGTGAGGACAGCCAGTTGGTTGTCTGCTGAGTTTCCATCCGTTGCTGTTCTGGTGGCAGGCACAGCATGGAGTCCGCCTTAAGGAACAGATTATTGTTATTTCTTCCCCACTCCCAGAAGTCTTGACACTGTGGGTGTTGGGGGAAGAAAGTGCCGCCCTAAAACAAGCCTAGGAGAGACTGAAGCGACTACCTCAGAGGCTATCTGAGAGCTGGTGGGGCAGGTTAGGCCCACCGGGTAGAAATTCTTCCATACTCTCTCTTTAATTGGGACAGAAAAACGAGCGAGCCCTACCTAGCTTTGAATTCTTTTAATTTTGCAATTTCTACCTGGGATAAAAATTAACAAGGTTGCTTCAGTTATCAATGTCATGGCTCCAAAATTTGAATTTTGCAATTTCGATCTGGAATAAAAATTAACAAGGTTGCCTAGTGTCGTGTGAGTGGCACGGGGATGTCGGTGAGTCTCTGTATTTGTTTGGTAAACACTTCTTAATGAAAGGAATGGCTTGTACCTGCGTTAAGGCGGTGTCGTGGGGAGAGAGTTCCTTGCTGAGGTTGAGGCCGCCTCCCAGCTGTCTGGCAGAGAGAAGCTCCATTGTTCCTCTTGGCTCCTTGTGGAAACTCAGGGCCCCTGGAAGTGATCTCCACACTCTGCCCTGTGGAATGCCTGGCGAACAATGCTGTCCCCTGGGCTCCTCCACCTGGGGAACACTAGCCTTCTGTCCCTTTGTCACTGCTTGTGCCCTACCCGAAGGGGTCAGTGTGTGTGGCGTGCCTACCCCTGGACTGTTTGCAGACAGGTGCATGGTGGGTCCCTCTGGTTCTGTGGGACTTGCTCTAACGTACCCCATGTGGCAGGTCTGCCCGGCTCTGTCCTGATTCCTTCAGCAGCATGCATGGTTGTTAGGGGTGGTTAGGGTTTGTAGGGGTAGCGCTGAGGCTTCTGGCTAGGAGGTGGTCTTACTTCCTTCTCATTTCTAAAACGTATCACACATGATGACCCCTTGGTTTTAATCTCCCCCTGCCCACGCTTTCTCCTCACACTTACTCCAGCTACTGGCATCTCCCCCAGAATTTTTGGAGTGGCCCCCTCCAGGGACCTCTCTGCCTTTTCCCTTGCCTCCTTACATCTTTCCTCAGCATAGAGACAGACCAGAGAGATCTGGACATGTAAATCTGGCCTCCGCTGACAAGCATGCAGAGTAATGCCCATTCCAATCCCAGAGAAGATACTGTCCTTACAAACCCTTGGTGTTGTGACACCTGGTCGCCCTCTGCACACCCGCTGGCCTGTTCTCCTGTTGCTCTCAGCTGGTTGATTCTGCACGAGCCATAACTCCTCCTTGCTGGCCAAACTTGCTGTTTGGGAGGTTTGTGTTTTCCACGTGCTCAGCCCTGAGCAGCGTCCCTCCAAATATCCACAGGGCTCTTGTTCCTGCCTCCTTTAGGTCTCTAGTGGGTTGTTACCTTATCATGTGGGCCTTTCCCTTTGCTATTGCAAAGTAAACCCATCCCCACTTTGGATTTCCCAAGTCTCTCATTTCACTTTTTATGACGGTGTGTGTCATGTCATATATATATATATATATATATATATATGATTTATTTATGTAGCTAGAGTTTTCCTGCCTTGCCCACAGTCAGGACAAATCTTTGTCACCCACCAGTCCCCCAGCTGCTCATACCCAACCAAATAAATACAGAGACTTATATTGCTTACAAACTGTATGGCCGTGGCAGGCTTCTTGCTAACTGTTCTTATAGCTTAAATTAACCCATTTCCATAAATCTATACCTTGCCACGTGGCTTGTGGCTTACCGGTGTCTTCTCATGTGGCTTGTCATGGTGGCAGCTGGCAGTGTCTCTCTACCTCAGCCTTCCGCTTCCCAGAATTCTCCTCTCTCCCTGTCCCACCTACTTGCTGCCTGGCCACTTGCCAATCAGTGTTTTATTTATTGACCAATCAGAGCAATTTGACATACAGACCATCCCACAGCATATTTATTTATTATGTATACAACATTCTACCTCCATGTATGCCTGCCCACCAGTAGAAGGCACCAGATCTCATTATAGACGGCTGTGAGCCACCATGTGGTTGCTGGGAATTGAACTCAGGACCTCTGGGAGAGCAACCAGTCCTCTTAACCTCTGAGCCATCTCTCCAGGCCCCATGTCAGCTATATTACATAATGCCACTTGCTTATCTCTGCTGTTAGAATATGAGTTCCATAAAGGTAGGAGTTTTTCCAGGGCCTAGAAGGGTGCCCTATGAGAAGCACCCTGATATTTCTGAAATAAATAACAGCTATGTTCATCAAGTGCTTACAGTATACTGATTTAAGTACCTTACATTTCACTTTGTTTTATCATCGTCACAACTTTACAAAGCATTGATGTTATGATGCAGCCAGGAACCATGACATCTACAGTATATAAGATGCTTGGGTCACAAGTGAGTGTGGCACTCCAGCATGCAATCTCTGCAAAGGGAAAGAGCCAACAGGAGATGCACAAAGCTATGACTACCTATGTAGATGTGGCTACATGTGTGCCTTATACAGCAGTCATATGTCCAGACATACACACATGCAGAAAATGATTTTTAGGAAATTAAATATAGAGGCTGTGGTGTCTGGATATTCAGGTCATGCTTCAGCCCCAAAGGAAGAACTTTTGTTGAATCCTTTGTCCAGGGCTGTCTGGAGGCAGAATTTCTTCCTCTCCAGGCCTTCAATGGACTAAATGAGGCCTATCCATAGATGGTGACTACTCTCCTCCACCAACATAACTGTCTAGCATCTAAAATAGACCTTCATAGTATCAGCTAGATGGGTTTTTTTGAAAGTACCTGAGTAATGTAGCCAAACTAGATAGCATAGTAAATCCCCTTCCTAGTGCCTGAGAGGTATTCAGTCTGATGGCCAGGCTCATCTTGTCCACGTCACCTCCCAGTGGCTCTGTCCTGTCCCAAGGGACAAAGCTAGTAAAGCCCCCCAGGAGCTTCCCATCCTAGAAGTTGCTCACATTGTTGGCTCTCTTTGATGCATTCCATCATATGCTAAACTTTACCTTCTATCACATTATTATAGGAAACAGCTTTGTATACATATGTCTCTATTTCAGGGGGAATATCTCAGAATTCATTTTTAGAGTCTACATCATGATCGAAAATGTACTTTCAGTATCCATTTAGTCCTTTGTTTATTATCTATTTATTGTGTGTGTGTGTTTCTCTTTTACGACTGCCACCACCATAATGGTGGGGAGAGGAGACAAGGTCTAGTGGTGACGACTTGGAAACGTGGGGTTTCTCTTTGTCCCTCAGCACCACCAGCTCTACAGCCAGCAGCTGTGACACGGAGTTCACCAAAGAAGATGAGCAGAGGCTGAAGGATTATATCCAGCAGCTCAAGAACGACAGAGCTGCCGTCAAGCTGACCATGCTGGAACTGGAGAGCATCCACATCGATCCGCTCAGCTACGACGTCAAGCCAAGGGGCGACAGCCAGCGGCTGGACCTGGAGAATGCCGTGCTGATGCAGGAGCTGATGGCCATGAAGGTGTGCTGCAGGTTCCATGTGTTGGGCCCACCTAGAGGGATACCTCACAGGGCCCCGAGAGCGTGGCCGCCAGCAGAGTTCAGTTAGTAATTACCTCTCTCCAGACGATAGCCGGTCTCTGTGGAGAAGGTTGGCTTTCGTTCGTGTAGAAGTCCTGTGGGCTGGACTTTATTGGAAAGGCAGTTGAACTCCAGAGGATGCTGTGGAGTGCCCCAGCTCAGTACTACTGCCTGTCAAGGGTTAAGTTAGACCCGCAGCCCTTGTCTAATGGTGAACCCTGATCTCAGTAGTGGTAGAAGTCCTTGTTGGATCACCCAAACTGGTGGGAGCTGGAACAGGAGGAGGCCATGGCAAAGCCAGCTTAGTAATTGGCAAAAAGCTCTGGTTTCCTGTCACCCTGGGGCATTAAGGGCTCTAAGTCTGTTTAGAATTCGTGCCCCCCAATCAGAGTTGGCAGAACAGTTCTGGCCAGTGTCCTGCCAAGATCTTGCGCTCTTCACCCATGGGCTGAGCTACTTGCCAACATTTCTAGAGAAAGGGAAGCCATTGTCCTTCTTTGGCAAATAGTTATGCTGCCATCCCTTTTGCTCAGGGTACCCTGCATCTCAACCGAGTCCCAGCAGTGAGGAGGTTGATTGGAGCAGCTGGTGCAGGTCCTCAGTCTGCTCTGGATTGTGCTGCCAGGCCCTGTTCCTCGCCTCTCTAAGATGCTGGTGTTTGAATCTGGAAAGAGGCAGGGCAGCAGGAAGAGATGTGGGAACCCAGGCATCCCTCCTTGGTAGTAACCTCTATCCCCCTGCTTGGCTCTTCATCCAGCCACTCAGCTCAGAGTGCTCACATTCCCCTGGCTGGGTTCTCAGGACTGCCTGTGAGCTTGGCCCTGAGTACACAATCATAGTGACTTTGTCGAAGCCAGGAACTTCTTCTGCAGACTCTTAGACCATGTGACATGAGCCATTAGCTTCTTCTATTTTTTTTTCTTACTCCAAACATCATGTTTTCTTTTATCCAAAGACTAAGCATTTCCTTTTTATAGTTCAGCTAATATGTGGTGTGACAGATTTACTGCTAATCTGGCCAAGGAAAGACGTGTGTGTGTGTGTGTGTGTGTGTGTGTGTGTGTGTGTGTGTGTGTTAATGCTCTAATATTGCCTTTGCCACTTGAAATAAACTGCACACTTGAAATAAACTGCACTCAACTTGGACATTTTTTGAAGATGTAGAAGTGGCGAAAGGCTGGAAGAGCCTGTCACAGGGACCTCAGGACCCAGAGCAGTGATTGTCCGTGTTCTGGCTTGGTTTTCCTCTGGTGCTTCCGGAAAACTGACCACCAGCCCCATCTCCTTTTCTCTGATGTGTTCACCAGTGTGCGCCGAACCACTCGTTCCTTAGCCAGGGGACTGTGCTGGAATTCACCAGTTTGTTCCAGCATATACATGCTCTTGAGTGAACACTACTCCTCTCTGGATGATCTACTCGATTCCTTTTATAACCCACTCTTCTTTCTGCACATCCTGTCTTTTTGTTAGGATCCTATCCTTTACCCCTTTAATCGTTGGAAATACTTGCTTTCTAGTTTTTCACATTCTTTTATTTTTGCTCCCATAAATGCTGATTCACTGCCATCGCATATGCTAACCAAGCTGGTGGTGGTGGCTGTGGCCATGGCGCACGCCTGCCTTTAATCCCAGCACTGGGGAGGGAGAGGCAGGAGGATCTCTGTGAGCTCGAGGCCAGCCTGGCCTATAAAGAGAGTTCCAGGACTATTACACAGAGAAACCCTGTCTCAAAAAACAAACACACACAAAAAAGCATATGCTAACCATGCATCCTCAGAGTGACTCATTTCCATCTCCACTGGGGATAGAATATACATGTCTTCCTTGGAGAACATGTCTCCATGGTCTCTGGGGGGTCTCACAGCCCAGGACTCTGGCTGTCCTGATCCCTTGTGACCTGTGGATTGCAAAGGTCAGGTATTCATTTTTAATATTTTTTTTTGGCATGGGGATTCTTGTACTATCCATATACAAGCTTGAATTTTGATTTTTCAAAAGAGCTTAATTTCTCTTCTCACCCATAGCCCGAGAGATGACAAGTTCCCTTGCCACACCTCCAGAAAGCAGTTCCTTAGTCTTTTATTCAGGCAGGACTTCAAGAGTCTTAGCTCACATAGGTGGTATCCACATGGCTGCCTGCCTCACAGAGGCCAAGGCCCGCTCTTTCGTGGACCTGAGAACCACAGGTGTCAGGAACTTCAGAGCAGCAGTCTGTTGTCTCAAGCCGCCTTGTGAGTCCCAAGTGCAGACTTAGGCTGGTATTTCTGGCACTTACACCTTCTCCGTTCCTTCCTGTCAGCTTGCTTTTGTGTGTGTGTTCTGAGAATGACCATCACATGAGTTCAGGATACACAGTCGCCATAGCCTTTGGAATCCTCCTCCTGATAGTAAAAGATGAGACGGCTTTCCATCGGAAAACCCCTTCCGTTCTGGCTGTGTCTGATCCCCAAAGTAAAGCAGGTTTGGCCTGTTCTGAGAGGTCACTGCGCACAGTGACTAATGTGTGTGCCCCCAAGGAGGACCAGCCTTGGTGGGTACCCTTCAACTCTTCCTTACGTTCAGAAGGTTAAATGATTTACTTTCTGTGAACTCTTAAAACAGTGCTGTGTGCCCAAGGAAGACTGATGGTTGCCATTGTCTTCTGGCTCCTGGTCCAGGTCGGCACTGTCCTATTTTGGGTTCACATCTTACCTCACAGAAACCCACCAGTTAAGCCTTTTAGGAGATTTTCTGAAGTTATCTATCTGTGGGTCTGCTCAGTATGCACATGACACAGCCCTTAGGTTCAATTCCCAGCATTGAGGAAGCAAAAGGGCCTTATCTGATGTGTAGTTTCCAGTGGGCGATGGCTGCTCCTGCTGATTTCATTTGGCCCCTCTGAAGTAGATGCTAGAATAATTAGCATTCCTCGGCCTTCCTGGCTCAGCTGAGTGACAAGTGTGACATGGGAGTGATATGGGAATTGGAAGGAGCCCAGTCAGACTTCTTTGTATGGATATTTCCTTGATAGCCCTAGGTAGATGCACCTTAGCCTTTGCATGCCGGAGAACAGGTTTCCACCAAGGCAAATGTGCCCATTGGGGTCCTAGAGCATCTTAAAAGGTTTTTCCTTACACCAAAGGGAAGTCTGATTGCCTGTGATTTCTACTCATGTAGAAATTCTAGTCCACAGGATGACAAAGCACTTGGCTGGTCTACCTATCAGCTCTTCAGACAGACATGTGGAGACAGTTCGTCCCCAGCTTTGAAGTGATGTCTGGACTGCGTACCTGTGGCTTATAGCCAGGTCTTCCTCTGCACCCGTTCGGCGTGGCAGCCCTTTGGGCATCCAGTGGAAGCAGCTTCTCATTGGCTTCGTGTGCCTTGTTCCACAGGAAGAGATGGCCGAGCTGAAGGCACAGCTGTACCTGTTGGAGAAAGAGAAGAAGGCCCTGGAGCTGAAGCTGAGCACCAGGGAAGCCCAGGAGCAGGCCTATCTGGTGCACATCGAGCACCTCAAGTCCGAGGTGGAGGAGCAGAAGGAGCAGAGGATGCGGTCTCTGAGCTCCACCAGCAGCAGTGGCAAAGAGAAGCCTGGCAAGGTAAAGCTAGGATGGGGTGGGTGTGTCGGTGGATGGGTGGGTGGGTGGTGCCCTCAGGGCAGGCCTTACCTTCTAAGCCTTTACCTTGGGCCATCTTTCATGCTGTTGCCTCCGTTTCCTCATTTCCACAGGCACAAGAGGTCCTAAGATATTGTAAAGAAACCAAATCCTCATTAAAAAGCAACACCTCACATTATATCAAAGTTTGGACGTTTTCCCACGTCACACAGTCTTATCAGAGGCGTGGCCTGTGCCATGGTCTCAACTACCTGTTCCTCACGACAGCCGTCACTGGGTTGAGATGCCGGTATTTGAGTGCTGTCGTCTGTGCTTATTGCCCCTAGTCTGCATTTGGGTGAGGAAAATAAGGTTGCTTCCACAGAAGTGGGAGGTCTTGCTACTGAAAACAGCGTAGGGCTTAACCCACACCTGGCTAACGGGCCACTTCCTGCCTCCTCCGCCACCCCTGCTCTCAGTGCCTTAGTAAGCAGGAAGAGTTGGAAGGGGGAAGCCTTGGATTGCAAAGTTGATATGAACAGAGACCAGGCTTCTAGTCATAACATTCACAAACTCATGTTCGCATCAGCCCCCGTCCCACGCCCCAGGGGCCTTTGCTAATTAATATGTAAGCTCATTCTGTCATTTTGTATATTTCTCTTCCACATCTGCACTGGAAAGAAAGACAACAAAATGCTTCCGACCCTAATGAATTCTATCCCTTACTCACTCGGGGGGAACTGCATGTTCAGCACATCATATTTAATATTCCTAATACCAAGCTTCTCCTGACACCGGCGTGCTCAGATCCAGGACTTGCAAGCATATGCTGACTGGCCGATCACATAAAGGGTTTCTCACCGGGTGCAGTGGTAGGTACTGCAGGGCATCTCCAGCAAAGCTCTGTACTTAGGAAGGAAGGAGGGGAGGAAGGAAGGGATTGTTGCTTCCTAAAGAGCTAAGAAATCTGAAGCACGCTGCACAAACAGCTGGCAGCGTCAGCATCCCCACCTCATTCTGCAGATGAGCCCATGACGCTCGCAGTGTGGCACTCTGCTCAGCCAGGAGTCCTGAGGCCCTGATGCCTCATTCTCTTGCAGGCTGTGATTAGATAGCCACGGTACGCCAGGACCAAGGTGAACTGCTGTCGTCTAGGAATGTATGCTTGGGGCTGATGGACAGACATGTACAGTTACAGGGTGTCCCAGATGCAAGTTTCAGCTGCCAGTGCCCTGTGAGGCCATGGTTAGGACCTAGATATCAGGAGCTTGACAAGAGGTCCCCTGAAGAAATGACCCAGTAGGGAGTGGCTAGTTGTTTGAAGTGGGTTGAGTAGAGGTCAGCAAGGCCTCCAGCAAGGCAGGGCTTGGAGACCAAGTGGAAAGGGAATCAATGCATTGGCTGGAAGGCTCAGCTTGCAGTGTTGTTCCCGGGACAGTGGGGAGTCGGGGAAGGGCTCAGATGGGGTTGGGGTGGGTTGGCACGGCTCAGGATCTGGAAGCTGCTATGCCAAACGTAACAGCTCTCTGGCAGGGGCCATGTGGTGGGGTTCCATGTAATCGTACCCAGGGTTTAAGAAGATGGCATTTTCCTGTTGCGTTCACCTTCAGAATCTTTGTGTGACCTTTTAAGCTGTTGGTCAGTTTGGGATAGGGCCTTCAACAGAGCCCCAGTGTCTGTCTAGGGTATGTTCTTAGGGTGTGGTAGAATGGACTTAGCAGGTTCTTGCCAAAGGTCCACGAACCGAACATTTCCTCACAGTTCTTGGTATTTATTTTGACTGAGAAGTGCTGTGCTCTGCAGAGCGGCTTTAACACACAGACATTTCTCTGACAGGAAAGGCCAGCTGGCTTTTAAAAACGTCTCCGTAAGAAGCTAAGTTACAGAGGTACCCAGTGCTTCCAGTGGGTAGAATTCAGTAGAGTAAGCGGATTATTCTGACTCTCAGATGTTGGCTCCGTTGACTATTTCAGTGAAGTCTTCATCTAGGGCCTGGAGTCTAGGCCATTCATTGGTGTTATTTGCTGGAGATGAGGCCACCAGGGCAGAGAAAAGAGCCAAGCTTCTGGTGAGCAGGGCAGGCAGAAAATTCTGGAGCTAGTCAGTGGTAAGCCTGAGCTAATGGCCAAGCAGTTTTAAATAATATTAAGCCACTGTGTGTTTACTTGGGTCTGAGTGGCTGCGGGACCAGCAGGTGAGAGAGATTCATCCTGACAGCAGGGCCCGGGCAGGACAGGAAAACTTGCAGCTACATTTGTCCATCAAACCAGCTGCAGCTGCCTGAGGGAAACCAGTGTTGCCTACATACAAGAACTGCAAAAACTTCACGCAACTTGCATGAAGTTTCTGTCTTCTATCATTTGTTTGTGGCAAGCTATTCTTCTTTGAACTCTTTTCTTCGTACTGACAAACCATTACTAGTCCATGGGCTGGATATAGCCCGGTGGCAGGTCACAGATGAACCTATAGCATCCACTCCTTTTCTGGAGAGTAAGTGATCCTGCCTATTTTAAAAGCTTTTCTCCAGCTTATAACAGCTTATACAGCTCCTAGTTCCTATGCACATTGCATGAAGTTTTCTGCTGCTCTTATCTGTATGTAACAGACATTATCATATTTAAAGAGGCGCTGTAGGAGAGAGAGGCAGGGAGTCCAGACTCTAAGAGTCTTGTGAAATGCTAACATCAACCATATATGCATGAAAAGTGAAATTGCTTCTAGAATTCACAGTCAGTCTTGGGTTGCTGGGGGTAGTTATTTGGAGAGGTGCAGCCCAGGTGAATGGCACCAGGACACATTGTCTTTTAGAATAGGCTAAGGGGGAGGCGCGTCTCCTACCATCTGGACTTTAGTGTGGGGGGGTCATTCCATCATGCTATCACTCTCTATTTACAGTCTATGCACTGTCACAGATCACAAGCTTTTTATTCTCAGGCCTGAAACACAACCTCATCAGTATCTGTCCCTGGCCCATAGCCTCTAGCTCCAGTCACCTCATTTTGTAATATACCTGCTGCTCAGCATATCTGCAGAGATAAGAGTTTTCTTGTTTAGACATGGCTACTGCTTGCATGTCACTTCAAGAGTTCTGGCCTCACACTCCTCATCTGTAAAACATGACACAAGGTCCCCATGCGAGGCTGTTGCATGGCAGAGGGGGACTTGTTTTCCTCTTCCTCAACCTGAGTTTTGTGATTACATGGAACACAGCAAAGCTCCCCATTTAGAGAAAGCGAGCTTTCTCTCAAAAGAGTGGGATGTGTCAGCAAGGACAGTTGCGTATATTTGCTTCCTGAAGAGACTCACACAGAGCCAGAGGGCCTGGCTTTGAGGTCTGGATCTGCTAGCTTCCAGCTAGTAACTGGGCAAGGTAACCCCAGTGCCTTGGTTTCTTCCACGGTGAATGCGGACCACAGTAGATAGTACAGTCAAGCTGCCTGGGAGTGTCCTTCCTAGTGACATGGGAGTAGTGGTGTGTGTGGCTTAGACCAGTGCCAGAGTAGAAAGTGTTCCTTGGGGTTCTCCTTAGGGCAACACATGAAGGTAATGATAAATCTGGGAACAGAGGAGACAATCACCAGATTTGTTGCCTGGCTTGCCGTTAGCTGGCCCAAGGGTCCCGGAGGCATGGCACTGCTCTCCTGTGCCCCAGAGCGGGGATGGTTGTTGGAGTGCTCCTGGGCCCTGCTCCACATCTGACAAGGAATACGCTTGCCCTCCTCAGGAGTGTGCTGATGCTGCCTCCCCGGCTTTGGCTGAAGTAAGGACGAACAGTGACAGTGAGCTGGCCACAGAGTTCGCCAGTGCCATCCGACGGTAAGCGACCCTCATGCCCCCATGCTGGTCCTTTAGGCTCGGAGGGCTTCTCATCCACACTCACAGCTGCTCATTCCAGCTCTTCCGGGATCATACTGGTCTGCCTAGAGAGAAGGTGGCGCTGGTATGTTTTCCTTGTGCCCCGACTTTGCAGGCTAGAAATGGGAAAACCTGCCATTCTGAAAAGCGAGTGCTGGGTTTTGGCATATAGACAGTCATTCCATTTGCAAGTAAGAAAATCTCTCCTTCCTGGTTTGCAGGTTGCCACATTGACTAGACCCTTCTAGATTAGGCAAATGGTGATACTGCAAACAGGTACCCTCCCCTTTCAAGACATCTTTAGTGGGACTGCATTCTTCAGCATCAGTAGCCCTTGCCAATGGAAGGCCTGTCTTTACTCAGTTCGTGGACATTTTCCTCCAATGTTACAGTATTTCTTCTCCCATGTTCTACTTCTTCTTTTCTAAACAGAAAGGGATGCTGATGCATTTAGATCTGTCTTCCACAGCCTCACTTCTCACACTTCCTGTCACCCCATTGCTTTGGAGCCCAGGGAAAGTCTGTCCAGAGAGAAGTAATTTCATGTTTACTAGTACTCACATGAAAAAGTCAATGAAAAAATTTCTTACTTAACTCACTATACTCAAAATATCACTTCAGTATGGTATGCATTTTATACCTACATTACTTCCCAAGACCAAACCAACCAAGATTCAAGTTCTCTGTAGCTGCGGGCATCTGTTGCACCCTGTGCCAGTGTATGACATGTGAAATACACTGTAGCGTTTCATGGAGATTGAACTGTCAGCGGGGTTTTGCAGCTCACTCAGTCTTTAGTTGTAGCTACTGTGACAATCCGCCTCATGTTTATTAATTTTGGTGCTGAAATCCTCTTTTTAAATGAAGCGATGTTCTCTTGTATCTCTATGAGAGCATTTATTATACTTATTCTTCAATTTCATTTTGTCCCTAGCTGCCTGTACCCTTGCAACTGAGCTTTGCCCAAACTTCTACTTGCTGTTTCTGGTTTGTGGACTTGTATTTCTTTCTTTTTGTTTGTTTGTTTTGTTTCAAAACAGGGCTTCTCTGTATAACCCTGGTTGTCCTGGAACTCACTCTGTAGGCCAGGCTGGCCTCGAACTCAGAGATCCATCTGCCTCTGCCTCCAAGTGCTGGGATTAAAAGCGTGCACCACCACTGCCCAGCTAGTACACTTGTATTTCTAAGCATCATGATTGGATTGTGAGTTCCATGTCTCCCTCTCAGCATGCGTCCCTGGGGTTCTGTGAGATGTTGTCTACCAAGTGTGACAGTTGATCTGCTGGGCTGTTTGTCACTGCTGGCTGACAGTCACTGTGAGTCAGCCTAGATGACCCCGTCTGACCCTGCCTTGTTGAGACAGCTGGCAGTTTGATTTGATTCGGATCCCTCTGGCTCTCCTTTCTGAAACAGGGGCTCTTCTGTGCATTTTCAGTTGAGGTTTCCTCTTTTAAGAAGAAGAAAATTGTCTGCCTTTCATGTTTCCTGGTCATTCCTGGCTTCTGGTACACAGGAACATTAGTTCCCTTTAAAAAGTTCCTTTTTAAAAAGCTTAGGGAGTTTTACAAAAAGCTTTCCTATTACTTCTAGGGATTTGATGTGGGAAGTCATGACAGTGTACTCTCAGCTAACTTGATCCCACACTGATCCTCCTGTGTGTTTTCTACTATGGACTCCCAGTTGACTGAAATTGGCCTTATGGGTCCTTTTCTACCTTCCTGGTTTGCTCAGTCTCTCAGTCTTTCTTTCCAAGTTGGAATGGCCCTGCATTTACTTTGCAAATACCTCTTGGGACGTTGCTACTTTGTGATTACTCTGCCCGGGGCAGAAGACCTGCACAGCTTGGGAGAATGCCTGAACAAATGCAATAACTTCCTTGTGCCAGAGACTAGGGTGGAAATCCACTCTCTGGGACCAGTGGGGGAGTCTTATAGATAGTATCTGTAAACTGGGCTTGTACATTTTTCAAATTCCCCAAGCCCCAGAGGCTTTTGCTGGCACCAGGAGGATGCACGTTGTGCTGACTAAACATAACGAGATTTCATTTATCCCTGGTCACGATGGATTTCCAATAACCAGCCTTAAGTTGGTTAGCATGGATTTCTAATCAAGAGCCAGATAGACGGAGCCAAGAAAGAACCAGAGAAGCCAGAGGATAAAAGAAAATAACATAATTAGACCGTAAATACAGCTTTGAAATGGGAATCATCATTTCATAAGGGAGAATAGTCCAGATACTGGAAGAGCGAGATTAGGGGATGTTTCTAATTTTAAAAGTGGAATGGAAACAAACACCTTTTCAGAAGGTGTCCATCTGGTCAGTAGCAGGCTGAGCGGCCATAGGTCGGAGGCCTGTATTGCCAGTATTTTCTGGAGTCCACTTTTGTGGGAGAAGAGTACTGTGGGCCATGCCCTCTGCAGAGCAGAACAATGGGGGTAAGTGTGGAAGGAAGAGCACTGGTCCCTGTTAGGAATTATGCACACACGGAAAACCCCCAGCGGGCTGGGCCAGGGTATCCCACTTGTGCAGGGGACCATGCTGACATGCTGCATGGTGTGGGCAGTGGCGGGTGGACATTCACAACCCATTCACAACGTTTCTGCATCCCTGCGGAAATGGTGTATTATGATGAGGGATAAAGAGAAAGATAGGAAAAGACAGAAAGGAGAGGGAAGAAGAGAGAGGGGTTAGAGAGTGTGGCGTACCTCCTGAAAGGAAAGCAGAAGAGAGGGAAGGGGTGGAATATTTTCTTAAAAAGAGGCTTTTACGTCAGGACACAGGGCAGTACCAAGGGGCAGGATTTCAAGGGGGCGGATCAGAGTATTAACAGCCCCTTCTTTGGGAGAGCCAGCCATTCCAAGATTGGTATCTAACACCAGCTACTCCATGTCTTACTGCTCTGTTCCCACCCAGCTTTGATTTCTGTTAGGCCTCCACCACTGAGCCTCTTGGCATGTCTTTTTTTTATCATCTTTTGAGGTATAAAACAACCACTTAGTGCAGCCCCACATTTCTTTTTATTTTATTATTTATTTGTTTGTCTGTTTGTTTATTTTACCTGCATGTGTCCTTGCAGGCCAGAAGTGGGCATCAGATCTCATTACAGATGGTTTTGAGCCCCCATGTGGTTGCTGAAATTGAACTCAGGACCTCTGGAAGAGCAGCCAGTGCTCTTAACCTCTGAGCCATCTCTCCAGCCCCATAGTCAGTCCCATGTTTCTTATATGACTCCCATCTGGTCTGGTTTTGTGCCCTCTGTTTCTGTGAACATCTGCTGTGCTGTATTGCTTCTGGATGGCTAGGCATGTACAGGAGAGATGCTTTCTAATCAGAGTGACTTTACTTTTACTGTGAACTATAAACATGTCTCTGTCTGAAATCCCTCTCTTTACTAGGATCCAGCAGGCCCTAGTAAAATTTGGCAGAGTTATCTTTCTACCAAATGAATTGGAAAATGGAAGCCACAAGAAGGGAATTTTCAGGGATGGCTTCCTGCATATAGATGTGCTGAAGCTGCCTTCTAGACCTGAGCACAGCTGAGCAGAGTAACCTGCTTCATCTCCATCACAGTCATGGGAGCTGAAGCAGGTGCCCCATATGATTGAGAGCAAGACTGGTACAGCAAAGTTGAGTGATCTTCAAGGTCTCCCAGTAAGACTGGGGAAATGCTATGTGCCTTTGTAAGAGAGAGCCTCACTGCACACAGAAAGGCAGAGTCAGTTTTGTACAGAGGTGTGTAGCTGAATGTTTTCCTGGTCCTGCCCGGCTCCTGTGGCCCTGCAATCCCGCAGCCACTCAGACCTAATGAACACACAGAGGCTTATATTAATTATTAATTGTATGGCCTAATGCCTCAGGCTTCTCTCTAGCTATCTCTTACATCTTAAATTAACCCATTTCTATAAATCTATACTTTGCCACATGGCTCATGGCTTACTGGTACCTTCACATCTTGCTTCTTCTGATGGTGGCTAGCAGTGTCTCCTGTGTGCTCTTTTTTTTTTCTCTCTCTTATCTCTCTAGTTAGAATGTCCCGCCTAACCTTATTCTGCCTCACCATTGGCTGAACAGCTTTATGTATCAACCAGTGAGAGCAACACATTTTCACAGCATACAGGATGACATCACCCATCAGAGGTGTGCTGACCCACTCCTGTGTTTCATTCTGAAGACTCTACCTCCACCATATGTACTGGTTTGGGAAGATGGGAACCTCTGATCTCCTATGATCATACATCTGTCTGTCAAACCTGGGGGCAAGTTAAGTGCTGTTGGGAGGCAAACTTACTCAGCTCAGACCTGTGAGTCACACCCTATACTGATGAGGTTATATTAATTCAAAGACAGAAAGATGTTCTTCCTCCACACTGGGAAGCAAGGAATGCGCACACACTATGGCCTCCTGTGGCTGCTCCACTGGCTGCTGCAGGCAGCATGTAGGGGCTGACTGAACACAGGTCCTAATCTTAGACAGCTGAATACCCCCATAGTAACAAAATATTCACAGCCACACCCCCACTCACAAATTCTCTCTTAATGCTCTACAGTCACAACTTGAAAGTCATACTGTGTCTTCCCTTAAAATCTCTTTCATTCTTCTCCACATGCTTTGCTTTCTTACCAATTGCCCCTGCCCCAGTGACTCAAAACTCAAGTGTCTATGATGAGCCATTTGTCCTTTTCATCATGTGTCCTGTCACCAAGATACCTTAGTGGTCACTTCTGACGAAGGTGCAGTGACAGTGTTACATCACCAGGGCAAGGTGGTGAGCCACAGCAGTCAAGGTCATCACTCAATCTCAAGTAACCTTCTAGCTCGTGTTTCAAGTGCTTCTCACCCCAGTTTAGAATCCTACTCAACCTCTGGAGACTTGTATCACTCCGTCATCACCCCGTGTTTCTTCCCAGAGCCCTCAGTGGTACCAAGTGCCCATCAGGGTCCTTGGAGCACTTGGCTATTAGCAAGACTCTGAAAATTCGGTGTGTCTCAGTTGCAAAGTCATCAGCACACCTGTGGAATCTTGGCCAAGAGGGAGAAAATGACATCATGTGTTTCAATAGCTGGGCATGCATACTGTTCTAAGCCACGGACAGAGAGGGATGGATGAAGAGAAAAGTGGCCAATCTGGGTGCGGAGCTTTCCAACAGAAGCTCCCCTGAGCCAACAGCAGCAGCATTTGCATCATTTTGTTAGTAAGACCATTACTTCAAAAGATGCTTTTTTTAAAAAAAAACCTCCCGCCAGCTGATTCTTCACATTCAGCTGATTTATAGTAGCAATCAAGCACTAGGAGCGGTGCCCAAACATTCTGTAAATGCAACATGGATCTGCAGGATGTTAATGAAATACAAAGTGAGCCTGTGGGTTCATTTTCATGGAAATAAATTGCTGAGGTCCAAAGCTGGGGTGTCTAGAGGGGAGGTAAAGTCTGACGCCCTACCAAGGGGTTTGAAGTAGGTGTTCCTTGAGTCCTTGAGATTTCCTTTGTCATTGTCCAGTGTTTCAAAAGCCCAAAGTTGGCAGCCTCACCTGAAACAGCATAGAGGCAGAGTGGTGAGGAGCACCCTGGTACATGGCAGTCATGGATAGAGGAGCAGTGTGCCCAGGGCAGTGCCAAGTTCATGTCTTGAATGTGAAAAGCACGTTCCTCAAAGCCCTGGCTGCCATTCTCCTTCTGCTATAACTCCTGGGAACTCCAGCTAAGCTCAGACAGAACAGCTATAGAATCTTGTTCTCTGGGGACACAGAAGCCTGGCCCCACAGGCCTGTGCTCTCTCAACCAGAGTCCTTGTTTATTGCACATTCTACTTATCCCCTTCATGAGTCACAGGACTCTTCAGCCCTAAGCACCCAGGCCCTGCTGGAAGATCTCAGGGTGTGAACGCCAGCCAGTAGGGCAGCAGCACCTGGCTGTGGGCAAGTAAGTGTCCTGACTGCGCCTCGGATTTCGCATTTGTACAGTGAGCACAATAGTAATGCTGATGTTGAAGGCTGTTGTGAGAACTGACTTTATCCTGGAAAAGGACTTAGAGATAGCTGTTATCTGTTGCCTGAATAGTCTAAATGCAAGCAGTTAAGAGAGTAAGATGGTGGACAAAAAAAGAGTGAAGGGATCTGGCCAAGCCATGGTACTTCTAGCTGGCAGTGAATAACATTAAGGAAAAGGCAAAATGCTGTGATGTTGTAACTTGGGGCCATTTGTCCACTGTTGATGGTGGTCCAAGAGGTGATATTTAAGCTGAAGAACCAGCAGAGGGTTGGAAGGACATCATAGAACAGATCCCACATACATCCTTCTAAGTGTAAGGAGAAAGCACCAGAGGGATGTATTCTGACCTGATTTTCCACACTGAAAAAGAGATCTGGCTGCTGTGTGAAAGCCAGATCAGAGCGGGGGTGGTGGGGGTGGTGGTGGTGGTGGTGGTGGTGTCAGTGGGGAGGGGTAGAAGCAGAGCAGATGCTTAGCAGGCGGCCATGCTTATCTAGGTGTGAAAGGACAGTGGTGTGGCCCTGAAGAAGTAGCATGAAGTAAAGACTTGGGAGACAGTTTGATGATGAACGTAGGCAGATGTTGATTCAAGAGAGGGTCTGGCTATGCCTCTACACGTGGTAAATAATGGTGTGGCCATTCGTTAACAAGAAAGGCGTGGCTTTGTGTAGAATTTCCAAAGTTCTTCTCTGGAAATTAAGCTAATGATGCTGTTAAGTGGGAGGCATCAGGCTGAGAGATACAAGGAAAGGCCTGGAGATCAAGATTTGGCCATATAGTTGTAAGGAAAATAAATGACAGTGTGCAAACTTACTTAAAGTAAGGGTAAGAGATAAAATCTAGTCCAACCGAAGTCCTAGTAATTACCAGTATTCAGAAGTGGAGTTTAGAAGGAAAACAGTAACAAAAGATGCAGGTCCCTAGGGCACTGCATTGACCAATAGCCAAGAGCCTCAAAGTACAGTAAGATAAGGACAACGACTACTACAAGGTATTTCTGTGGAATGGAAGGCTGACTGGGACTGGAATATTTAGAAGGTGAGGAAGACAGGAATTCCATGAGTAGACAATCCCCGCCCCCTCCTCCTGTTCTACAGGAACAGCCTGAAGGTACATGGCTGTGACTCCCTGCTCTTTGGTCTGAATTCAGTTCTTGTGAATAGCTGTATGGCCTGCTGGATATGTGCTGGCCTGAGATTTAACTGAATCACAAACTATTTCTACTGCCCTTCTTAGAGGGCACTCATTTCTCTTGCTTGTGCACAGAGCTGCGGTTCTGGTAGCCAGTCGAACGACAAGTCTTACCTCAGGGGCCTGCTTGTCAGCCCCTCCCCCATCCTATAGTCCAGCTGACTTGGCTTTCCTTGGTACCCACCTCTTAAATGCTTTGTGGGTACTCCACTGCTCAGAACTGTGACGACACACACCAAACCACCACTGTGTGATAAGATACCACCTTTTATGACCGTATATAGCCCATTTTTTTGGTTAAGGTGCTAAATACTGGAGTGGGAAAACCCCTAACTGAAACCTGAACTGGATGGTTAGTCTTTGAGTCCTATTCCCTATAGAGTTATTCTGTTTTTACCTGGTGGTAGTCACAGCAAACAAAATAACAAGAGATTGTGCAATCCCAGGCAATCCCCAGAACATGGTGAATGCATTTGTACTGAGGGAGTAATTTATATTTAATTTTCTCTTGTGTGGAGCCAAAGAAAATGCTTGCATTGGCATACAGTTTTATGTACAGAAACCACATAAATTCTTCCCTTTCTGACAGCCAAGCACATTAAGTTGGAAACTAGAAGGAACAAGACATTAATGGTTGAGATTTCAAAATGACTGGGATAGGCAAACAGGTTCTTAGATTTTTCCAAGTCATCCTGTGAGGGGGGAAAACAGCCTGGGAAGTTCCCTTAATTTCTGAGGGACCTCAACTCAGGCCAGGCCCAGAATCATGGCTTTGACCCAGAAAAGAATTTCAGGACTTGTCAGTATGCAGCAGAGTTTGAGATTTTACTAAAGATATTTTATGCATGAAGGTTAGTTCTCCTAACTATACATGCACCCAGAAAGAAAGACATAGCCAAGTTTGGTATGTGCTCCCCAAGGTAGAACAGCAGCAAACTAGACTTACCCAGGTGTGGGTACCTCAGAGGAGAGTCACAATTGTCTCAGCATCAACCATACCTGCCATTTTAGGTTTCTCTCGAGTTGTGATTTAAAAGGTTGCTCCACTCCCATCTCTCTCTCTGATAAGTGAGAGTACAGGGTGACTCCAGATATTTTAGGATTACAAACTGATAGTGTAAAACAAAGCCACCCAGTCTGCACAAGGGATTAGAGAAGCATCAAGCTCAGTTATTGATGATTCACCAACCAGAGGCTTCAACCAACCAGGTTAGGGATCCCTTCCTTTCTTATGGCCCCATAATTCTCTTTCTACCACCACCTGAGCTACAAGCCACATGTATCATTTGGAATTTCCTCGATTCCACATTAACATGCAAAACATGTGAAATTAATTTTAATAGCATAGAGTGTAGCTCAGGGTACACACTTGCCCAAGGTTTGATTCCTAACATTGTTCCCTTAAATATAATAGTGATATTCAGTCATATTTAACTCAATATAGCATTTTTTTGCATGTTGTCAGGGTTTTTAAAATTGAAGTATCTAACTTTATTATTATTGAAGTTTCAAATTCCAATATCCATTTTACACTTACATGGCATCTCTGGGCTTCCACACTAGATATGCGGTGTTACTTCAGCATAGAATTGTTGGGATCCTGGCCACTGATCTTTGTATGCCCTGAGTCTTATTATAGGTCTGTCCCTCTCAGCACAGCCAAAAGAGCCCACATTAGAGGTGTGGCCTACTTTTGCATCTTCAAATAAGTGACACAGTTTCCTGGTATCTATACTTCTTTCCCTTGTATATAAACTTAAGTGGTCCCAGAGGGACAGTTTTGAGCTCCCAGAGCTGGCAACACTCCATGTCACCCCTAGCTGGGGATTGGCAGGTCTGAGAGCATCTTTGTTGGTTTGGGTGGTCTGTCCTACTGTAGAGTTTACTAGGTCCATAAAGTCTCCTGGGTCTGTGAGAACACTTGCTAGGGAAGGAAGCCCCTTTGTTGGTGGCAGGTAGGAAAAGATGGAGCTAGCAATGGTATCTCTGTAGAAGACTTTTGTTGTGAATTTCTTTGAATTGATTCGATTTTTGGTTTTCTTCACAAGTTGTTCTTCCCCTTTTGTACAGTTAATCAGCATTGTGATCTCTGTATTCACACCACACCACACGTATACACAGACATGTTCCCCAGCAGGGGGAGATGTGTACCCTCATTCCTGCCTGCCTTGTGGCCAGCTATCCTGTAGCAGCTAAGTAAGGCAAGTGGAAGGACCTAGTGAAGAATGAGTCCCCATAGCACAGGCTAGGTGCTGGGTTTTCTCCCTTGGGGTTTTGTGTGGAGTTACCAGTCACCAGTCTGGACAAGTCATGTTGCCCTGATAGCTGAAATGTAAATGGTTAGATACCAGAGGGATCAGGAAGGGAAGATGGGGGATCAGAGCCACACAGGAAGTAATCTCCCCCACCCTGAGGTGGCAGTGGGTGCAGCCACCTTGGTTTTTTGCCCCTCCCCCCTTTCCAAGCATTCTAAGTGTCTCTGAAGCCATTCAGCATTGAGTGAGGCCAGAAAACCCTATCTAGCCTGGGTTCTGCGGTGTGCTTGCTCACATGCCATACAAAAATGTTCAAACCATGCAAAAATGAGTGAAACAGCAAAGCCTTCTGCTGACCCCTTCCCCAACCACTGCTAAATCTGTGGTTGGTTTTTTGGTATATCATCACAATACAACCCATTTTTGGTTGTTCTTATAAAACAATGTTCTATCCTTCCATGTCAGTGCATGCTGATCTGCCTGCATTTAGGCAGATTTATCGACAGGCATTTCAGTAGCACCGACAGATCCTGATGAATTCAGACACTCCCCTGATCTCTGCGTGTGCACACCACAGTAGGTTGCAGTGGTCAGAAGACAACTCCAGGGTCAGGTCTTCCCTTCCACTCTGGATTCTCAGATGGAACTCAGTGCGGCAGGCTTGGTTTGGTGGCAAGTGCTTTTTCCCACGGAGCCAACTTGCCAGTCCGTCTATCCTTCATTATTGTAATGCAAGCCGGAATGATTCCAGCTTCAAATACACCTCGGGGTGTCAGGCTCAAGTATTTAAGGTATTTCTAGAAATCAGTTTGCTTAGTCAAAGGGATGTGTGCATCTTCTGCTAGTATTTTGGATACAACTACTGCCAGCAGGCACAGATTCATGAGGGTGATTTGTAGTCTTCCCACGAAGCCCTTTTTAGAGTAATTCCTTTTCCTACACCCTGAATTCTCAAGAAGCTTGAAGAACAGTAGTTGTGACTCAGGCAGCCCTCAAGTTACCAATGAGGCATAGTCTCAGGTGCTGGTGCAGGGAACCAACTCAGTGAGGCAAGGTACACAATGTACTGCCAAGTCCACTATGACAGCGACCCCATCTATCTACGTGGCATCGGGGAAGCACTAAGACATCAGTACCTGCCGGGACTCTGGAAAACACCCTGCCTGCTTCCTCTCTCAGCTAGCATGAACCATCACAGTAGTAAAGAGCGCATGGAGTCCAATCAGAGTGCAAATGAATTTTAAGTACTTTACTGAGAAATGAGGACTTTTATGATGAAACGAATGTCATTTCGATTCCTTTCTCCAATATCATCATTTTTGTTTCCGTATGGTCTGTTAATGAGCAAGAACTAGGCAATCTAGGCATGGAACCGGGAGCTGTTGCTTAGATACGTGGGCAATGAGAGTTTGTGGTCATGAGTGAAGGATATCTGCCAGTAGCACCAACTCCTGTCTTCTTCCACGGGGCATACACTGAAGATCTCCAAGGCTCGCTGAAGAAGCAGGCTTCGTTAGTCTTTGAGAATGCAGTGTTGAGAAATGCTCATCCTGGCTGAGCAGAGCCGAGCTGTGCTCCTCAGCCCACGACTAGCTTACCTTTCTGCTCTGGACCCCGACCCTTGGCCAGCTACCCTGCCTCCTTCCCACCAGCACCTGCTGATGGCTACGCTGCCTCTCTTTGATACAGGGAGAAGAAACTCAAGGCCAGAGTCCAAGAGCTGGTCAGCGCCTTGGAAAGACTCACCAAAAGCAGTGAGATCAGACACCAGCAGTCAGCAGAGTTTGTTAATGACCTAAAACGGGCCAACAGGTAAAGTTCCTGTGCAGCCCAGAGGCTGGGCATGGGAGGATCTGTCTCCTGGGAAGTGACTGACACAGGGAGATCCTTCCCTGTCTCCTGGGAAGTGAGTAGCACAGGGAGATCCTTCCCTGTCTCCTGGGAAGTAACACAGAGATATCTTTCCCCATGTCTTTTGGGAAGTGAGTCTGCCATACAGCTGACTAGAAACCCAGGAAATTCAAGATGAACACCATTTCAGATTAGATGTGCTTAGGAAAATGGAGTCTATTGTGGTTTCTTTTTGACATTTCCCATAATAAAGGTTCTGAGAAGTCATGACCAACAATAAAAAAATCTGTGTGTGAGCCAGTGTTTTCAATCAGCAAACCATCAGAGCGATTCCTCATCCAGGGGAACATTTCAGGGTACTCCAGACTCCAAGTTAAGAGTCTCAAAACATTTGGGGTACATGATGTTCCTATATAAAAAAAAATGAGGACTTCAGAACCTTTGTGTCTGTAAGATATCTACTAATACTTACGATATCGGGAACTAAAACTGAGAAAGACTTTTAAGTTTTTATTCATTTACAAAAATTCAAGCTTGGTAGATATCACACTTCTATGAAAACCACTGTTTTCCAAATTGTAATTAGAATGGCACATTTTAATTTTGTAAGAATGCCTGACTTAATAGCTTACCTGGATTTCACAGTCTGCTATCAACATAAGACTCCCTGAATGAAATTTTCAGAATCCCAGGAGGGTGTGTGTGTTCTCAAGCCACACTTTAGGAATTCCAGCTAGGGTAACATAGTGTACCTGAAGGGAGCTTATGTTCTATTTTGGAGCAGAGAGAATATGCAGATACACCTGGGCTTGTGTCCAGCCCAGTGGGCACTGATCTAGGGCCAGTTCACAGGCCTATTTTCTTTAGGGGACAGCATTTCCTTAGAGTCCAAAGCACAGCAAAGCAGCTGCCCCTCTCCTGGTGAGAGAATACTTTATGTAACTTATAGTTGGCCACCTGTAGCTAGCAGCCATGAAACCAGTATACCTAGTGTCTGTATTTGATTTTCTAGAATTCAGCAACCTTATTCTTACTGTTTTGGATGTGGCCACTTTGGGCTGTTGGGTTATAATGTGTTAGCCGTCAGCATACTGCCTGGGCCTGCATTAGTATGCTTAAGCCAGAATCCTACTTAGTACTGTGCAGCTTCTAATCAGTAGACTTTGGATTCCTACTGGAGAGGCGGACTGCACTCACCAGTGCCACAAAGGACAGGGCGTCCCTCACTCCTCAGGATGAATCTTTACTCACTTTCCTCTGTTCCCACACAGTAACCTGGTGGCTGCCTATGAAAAAGCAAAGAAGAAACATCAAAACAAGCTGAAGAAGTTGGAATCCCAGATGATGGCTATGGTGGAGCGACATGAGACCCAAGTGAGAATGCTCAAGCAAAGAATAGCTCTGTTGGAGGAAGAGAATTCCAGGCCACATACCAACGAAACTTCACTTTAACAGGCACTCAGGCCCCAAGGTCCTGCCCCACGGGGCTGAACTCCAGCGGCTCTGAAGTCCTCAGCAGAGAAAGGGTCCAAGGAGAAGATGCATATAGGTCACAGCTCCACCCTTCGCGCGAGTAGTCCATGATGGCACCATGGATTGTGTCTGTACAGGCTTCAGCTGCTCCAGGCCTGGCCACAAGGGGTGCCAACAATGGCTCCAGCCAAGTGCTTAGCCATGTCTTGTTTCATTTTCACCACACAAGTTCTCATGCTCTTCTCCCTTGTTCTGTGTAGCGGTTGGTGGGAATCCAGGCACTTGGTTTTATGCGGATTTCCAAGTCTTTTTCTTTTTTCTTTTTTTAGCTTTTCATAGACTGGACTATTCTTCTGAAACCTGGATTTCTTCCTTCCTCCTCCAAGGGAAAAGTGATAGTGTTTTGTGTGTTTCCAACATCTAGGGCTTGCGGCCCACCACAGCAAGGCTCTGCCTTCCAGGTCCTAAGGTACCAGATTCCTGAGATAGTCACATATAGAGGGATTAGTTGAGAGTGACAGACCACTGGAGGGCACCGTGTCGCTGACCATCCCAGACACACCGCAGTTTCAAACAGAGCATCATCAAGGTTATGTGTAGACAGTTCTGGACTGGACAAATAAAAAAACATCTCCTATTTTTATTGTACAGGCCGGGGTTGAAGCTGTTTTAATTCCCGTCCAGCAAGAGTAAAACTTAGAATACTCTTGATATATGTAGTAAAGCCAAGGTTTTACCAGGGTTTTTTTTCCTAGGACAGAAAAAAAGCAGTATTAGCTCTTTCCCAGCCCCAGGGCACTACAGTTCCTATTCTGAATCAAAACTTTGCCCCTTGAGCACATATGTAGCTGGATCCCGCCTCTCTCAGGGCAAGAGGCTTTACGTTGTTGGACACTGAGGAGATCCTTAATGTTGCACAAGATGGTTCCCACCTATAAATAGAGTGCCATTGAACCTTTAGTCCCCAACATCAGGAAGGGGATTGGGTGAGGGAATGGCTGACAGGCTTCCTAGTCTCTCCCTCCAGATGCAGTGATTTCAAGCAAAATGGTGACCGGGAGGCGTGACCTCAGTACCTAAACTCCTCTAGGGAGGCATCCCAGTCATGTTTTCTACTGGAGCTTTTACCATTTTACCTTCTGCTGTTCATAGACACAATGAAGGGACAGCCTGGCTTTTTTTCACCTGTGGCCCCCAAGACGCTCTCCATGTGCTGTGAGAAATATGCTCCACTCTCATGGTTAATGAGGGGAAGGGATGCTGCGCTCATGACCATGGTGATGCTGCAGACTCCAGGCTACGGGCGGGTCTTTTAGAAAGCAAAGTTCAGCCTTCTGTGCAGGAGGAAAAGATGCTCTGGCCTTCTCCCACAATGGTTAGCCCACAAAGCTCAACCGTCTTTCTTTCTCAGACCAGTACCAAGCTCTACTCACCCTGTGAACAGAAACGAAAATGTGACTGGTTTGAGTCAAGGCTTGAGTGTTGATGGCTTTCTAGCCCTTTGTCAATCTCTGTGATCCATTTTCTCAGTGTTCACTTTTGAGGGTAAAGTTCTATTTTGTTATGAGGAAAACGTGTGGATAGAAACATCTACTGCCTCCCCACCACCCCAAGAATTTAATAGATAAAGTTAGCTTTCAGTTTTTCAGCTACCTTCAGGAAATGTCTGCTCCCAAGCAAATTGGGACAGGCTGTCCTGGTTGAGGAGAGCCCACATTCCAGGTAACATGATTGCTAGGCTTCCCGCTCTGTCCACGCAGATGCAGTGAGCAGCGCATGCAGGAGGCTGAGATGCGAGGTGAGACTGAAGCAGAGATGGCGGTCCACCTGCTGAGCTCTGCCCCCTCCGGGTAAAAGCAGAGAACCTATGCTTCTAGGTCCATAATACCTCCACAAAAAAGACCCAAAGCAGCAATCCTACCAGGCCTTAGCCTGAGTTTCTAAGTATATAAACATATGGTGACATGTGAAAACCATTTGACAAGCTAAAATGCCACATTTTTAAGTAAGTGGGAAAGGGCCATACAATCTTTTCCTTTTAGTTTTCAATCTTTGTTGAGGGTTGAAGCAGCAGGCATTTGATTATGTGAATTGTCCCACTGATTAAATACATGACAGCAGGTGCCTGAGTAATTTTCCTTTTTGTTTAACCTGGCTCTTCCGAACCTACTCTTAAATAGGAAATGGTTTCCATTAACATGTCTATTATGGCTAACAAAATTATCTTGATTTTAATTTGTATGGGGTTAAAAACCTTCGGAATTTCCTATCTTTGAAACCCCACCGCCACCCAAAGTCTTCAGGGGTTGCTCTGGAGGCAGTCACCTTTACTAATCAAAGCCGGTTTCGGCTCCTGAAAAAGTAAGCAGAGCAAAAGGTCCCGTTAGGAGCCATTTCAAGGTTCCCTTGGACTGTATTCCCCATTCTGAACTGAGGCAGACAAACCCGAGTAGGGCAGCAGTCCCAGGAGACATCTATCCATGGCTGGCTCTGGTCCCCTGCAACAACCCCAAGTACAAACTTGTTACAAGTCAAACTTGCCTTCCTTGTAACAACAGTAAGAAAGCCTCCATCGGACTCACAATCAAGACTGTCATGTGATCAGACAGCCGAGGTTTAGCCTTGTCTCCGTACCATACATACTCCAGGTCTAAATGAGTGCCACATGGCCCCAGTGGAGGCAGAGAACTTGGACCCACTCTTACCTGCTGATGTGGCTCATTTCTTGATGTGTGTGTAGCCTGAACCTGGACACTACATTTAACAGACATTTAGAAGTTTTTTGTTAGCCAAGGTGCTTGGTTCTCCGTTCAGCCACATGAACTTACAAGGTCTTCCTCTGAGCCTGTAGCAAATTTTACAAGGGCTTCAGAGAACTCTAAAATAGAGCTTTGGCATGGTTCTATGAGGAAGGGCAGTCTAAGGCACAGCCTTAGGCTTTTATTCATTCATTCTATAAACTTTTTTTTTAAAAAAAAGGTGCTTAGTAACCTTACCACTGTAAGGGAAATGTGAGACTATTGGAAGTCTAGTTCCTACATACAGACATTACCTGAACAGGAAAACAAAACAAAAAAAATCTTAGTTTGCTACAGGTTTGGAATGCCTGTATCACTGTGTCCCATCTACTATGGCCCACAAAAAATTCTGTGCAATGATATAAATTGTGTAAACTACATCAGAGCTGCCAGGAGCCGGGGTATCACATTCATGTTTTAGGTAGAGAATAACATCGTGGCAGTAACAGAAACAACGCTCTTGTTTGTTAAAACACTTCCTTCCATAAATGCTTTCAATTATAAATGTTTAATTGGGAGTATGTCGTCAACAACAAAAAAACAACCAACCCAGCGCTCACCAAGTGTACAGTGTCACCCACTGAACTAATTTTTTTTTTTTAGAGCCCAACAGAACAAATTCACTGATGGTTACATTTTCTGCCCTGATCTTCATTAGGGTATGGTCCTAAGGAGGGAGCGGGGCACACGAGCTTAAGTAACATTAGTATTTTCTTTCTGTGATACACTGCGGCTTTTAGAACAAGCTATAACTGCTGAAGAAATCAGCAATTTTGTGTTTAGCCAATAGAACCTAAATAACGAGGAATGACAGAACAGCACCTTGGCCGCAGCTTGCAAACTCTGGTGAGCAGGCATGGCTTGCTATAAAAACGCCTCCGCCTTTGAAGTGTGTGTACAATGGAAACCCCTTGTTTATATACAGGTCAGGTCGGAGTCAGCTCCCAACCTGGGGCCTCCTAATCTCACTTCATTTTCTAAACACCTTTGTATTCATTTAGAAATGTTTGTGCCTGCTGCCAGTGGTCTATCTGAGATGCTGTGACCCCAGCTAACTGAGCACGCTTGTGTAGAGGAAGACATTTTCATATGCAGGCAAGCATTACAATTTTGGTAATCCAGTATAACCTTAACACGTTATCTGATGTTTTGTACATGTGTACGAAGAGGGGGAGAAAAAAAAGCTGGGTCCCAGAATCAAGAACCATTGTTGGATAAGGACACCCACGACTTACCATTTGACTTTCCCAGTCTCTCATCTGATAATACCGGAACTGCCTGCTCACCAAACAGCACGCAAATTCTGTAGAGGATTCCACACCCGTGGAGATGCTCTGGTTATGTTTCTGCTCTATCGTTCGCCCTGTCCATGGTCAGACTCATGTGGAAAATGGTTGTAGAGTCCACAGTGTTCCTTTGCAGTCTTCCTGTCGGGACACCCACTCTCCAGTGCCCCCATAACCTAATTTTGTTAGGACCTGATGCAAAGACTACAAAACACGTTCACTTCTGTTTCTAATCCGCTTTTAGACATATTAACTTACGTTGCATGAAATTTCACTTTTTTATTAACTGAAAATGTGCTTTTATACCACTTGAATTAGAAAATCCTGCTTGAATGTACTGTCGTTAAAGCACATATGACTGTCTGCATCTGTCAGTACTGTTCTGTTTGTACCCAAGCCTCACTGTAAAGTGGCTACTAAACACTGTACTATAACTTGTAATTTTTTAGGCTCACTTGTAGCTTTTAATGTTTCCAGATGCCTTTAGTTTTAGCTGCTGTAAAATAGCTACTTTGTGTTATTTGATATAGAATTGTTTAAAAAAAAAACAAACCTCCATTTATTTATACAGAGACATTTATAATATTTTACAAACGTTCTTATATTCTGAATAAATATTTCTAATTCCGTGAAGTACTTTGTTTTAATTAAAGAGTAAGAGGTTCCATAGACGTATTTGCCAGTCATACATGTAAATACAAACCAGAGATGCTTCCATTCATTTAGGGGCTAGATGTAAAACTACTTCAGATCAAAAGAACAAAATTCTCATTTATCACCAATTTTTATTTGGTTGCTTTCACAAACATCATAAACAGAAGGTTCTCTATTAGATGATATTTTCAGTATCAGGAAGTCAACTGGGAACTGGAGAGCAGTTCCGTAGCATGTCAGAGTTAACATGTCAGAAGCGCTAGAACACCAATTTTTTTCTACATGGAAAAACTTTTGATAGTAACAGTTACACAGCTGAGAACTCTAAAAGAACAGTGCTCAATTTCTCCTTCTGTCTGAGACCCAAGAACAGGACATTCTGCTGCAAAGCCCAGTTCTGGACTAAGTTTAAGAATCATTGCATTTTACTTTTCGGGTTTAGACCACCAGTCCACCACTATACTCCTGTTAAGAGAGCCAAACTGTGAATGGAGAAAAGGATGACATTCCCACTGTCATTTCTGAATGAATTCTATGTTTTATATTCCTACTGATGCAAACAACTTCATAACCTTTTGGTCCAGGTCCAGAGATATGGCAGCCAAGAATAACAATAATGACTTAAAATTACAGTAAAAAGAACAGGAGCAGAACCAATGAGAAAGTAGCAACTAAAACAGTGCCAATTTTATAGGTAATGCATTCAAATATCCAGAATTAGACCAGATTTTACAGTATTCTACAGAAAGCCAATGTGAGCAACTTTCCATCTTCCATCATTTTAAATGTACTGTGTGTGTGTGGGGTATAGTTTTAGCTTTGAAGTGTGGATTACATTTGAAAAGCCTTTAGAAGGTACAGCATACTTACCATTGAAGACAGCCCTGCATAATAACTCAGGGGAGAATACAGGTGTCAATCTCCATGTCTTTGGAAGTGCACTAATTCACTAATTCACAAACCCCAGTCACTGGAAATTTATGAGTCACACCAATGTAAGTGAAAACCAGTTCCAATCATTTCATAGACACTGAACTTGAGTGAAGTGGTAGGGGGTGGCACTGAATGAATTCAGTCCTAAAGGTGGTTGTCACACCACAACGAACCTAACAGGCTTTTTTTTTTTTTGGGGGGGGGGGTGTCCTTGTTGCTTTCCCTAAATGTTTGATTAATAACACAATAAGGCAAAGAACTTTCACACTACCACAGACATAATCATGTAAAGGGTTTACATAATCTTTCCCCAAGTATTAAAATGCCCTAGAGTCAAATAATAAAAGGCCAAGATTAAATGTTAAATTGTTTCACACAAGACAAAACCAATTAATGAAGAAACAAAGGTTACAAATCTATGTATTCTAAAGCCCAGGTCTTTTCATTGAACATTACATCCTTAAGGAAGTAATTTCACCAGCGTTTGTGTACCAGCTTTTGCAGCTTCCATGACTCAGCATATCATTTACCTTTCCCAGACAGACTTACAAACAATCAGACTGTTTGAAGACCACCAGGAACATCAGGTTTTCACAGCATAGTGTAAACCACTTCTCAAAGACACAGTGCTTAAAACTATACAACTTTTACTCACTTCTGCACCCAAACTAAACTGTACGCTTCATTTTTGTAAGATTTAAGACTTTATTCATTCATTTATTCATTTATTTACTTATGAGAAAGGGTTTCTCATATATAGCCCTGGCTTTTCTGGAGCTGTGGCCTCAAACTCGAGATTCCCCTGCCTGATTACAGGTGTGTACCACCATATCTGGCCTGATTTAGGACTATCTTAACTAAGAATATCACTTAAAGTAGCTAAATACATGAACATTCATGAAGATTCATTATGGTTTCACTGAAGCCAACAGATTAACCGAATCATACCTAGGTCTAATAAGTCAGTACTCATTTTAAAACATTTTAAGATTTAAAACTAATCAGCAAATAAAGTTTTAAGGGTTTTACTACTCTTCCCCATTTGTTCAACTGAAAAAATTGATTATTCATACACTGGAAGTTAGCTGTCTGCTCTTCTAATTTGAACGAAACAAACTGAAAATGAAAGGCTCATTCCCTTGGATACTTGCATTTGACATTGAACAGTTACCTGTCTAACACTCAAACACAAAGCAAAATGTGCTACACAGACATGAGTGAAATGCATACTCCTGCAGGACCACCTCATGCTTCTCCAGGGTACTGTGCATGCCACGTGTCCCAGTACGCCACTGTTCATGCTCCAGATGCATTACTGCAACTCACCAAGCCAGCCACAGCCCCAGACGCTACCCCTCCAAAGCTCACAGCTGGCAACCTCTGTGCTAATTTCTTAAAGCTTGAGAAATGGCTTAAAAATGTACAGCTGTGTCCCCAAACAGTCTAGAGCTATTGTTTTAGACATCGAGATTAAATCACTGGAAGTACAAAGTATTTGGACCTTCTACTTGAAAAGCTCAATATCCTAAGAACTGAGGACTAGGAAATGTTGCCCATTTCATTCTAGAACTACACTGAAGTGTTTTCTCTGCTCCCACACCAATTTCACAGCTATATACATCGACTTGAGAGAGCATAGTCCTTCTCGCTGCTTGAGGCTCAAGAGTTAAAGTTCTGGCAAATTCTCATGGAGGCAGATTCATTTAGAGATACAGCACACAGAAAAAGACTGATTACCGAGACAGATGCTCAAAAAACGGCACTGAGCCAAGGAGCCAGTAACAACATCAACCCAAACTACCCAATCCCCTGCAGCAAACCCCGGGGGCCTCGCCTCCCACAGAATAACCTAAGACCAAGACACACCCTGAAACGGACTTCCCTAATTTCTCTCCCCAGAACGCTTGACGAACACCACCCAAATTACTAGCCTCTTGAGGTGAATTCCTTTAGACTGTGCTTTCAGACAGTGAGCACAGACAGAACCCATGCCTCTGCTACACTAAGACTCAAGATACGTGTGATCGCTCTGTTGCTGACTTCAAATTAGATATCCCACTGTGAACATGTCTCAAAATAAAGGCTCGGAGCTTTAACACAAAGTACAAAGGGGTACATGGGAAACTCGAACAAACAAAAGCCCCGTCAGCCCTAGGTTAACAAATCTTTTACGAGATAGGTTTACATCTCGTTCTATGCTTGAGTGGGCTGAGGCTTCACTGTCCACCAGTTATACACTTCAGTAACAACTGCTGTGTGTCCCAAGGAAGCTGCTGGCAGCACACCCACATGCCTGGGACTGTGCTACACTCTGGGCTATCTTGTTATCAACAACAGAGTAGTTAAGAGCGTTGGCTGTTCTGGCAGAGGACCTGGATTCTATTTCCAACACTGTAACTCCAGTTCCAGGGGGATCTGACACCCTTTTCTGGCCTCCATGGGCACCAGGCACACATGTGGTACACATACATACACATTAAAAAGAAATTAAATAAAAAAATAAAATAATAACGAAATCCAGAGTGCCTAGAGCTCTGCAGAATCAACACAGAAAGGACTCAAAACACCAGTCCTTAAAGTGAGAAAAATTACATCAGAACCAATGGATTGCTTGGCAAACATACTTAGAAAACAACACTTCATTGAAGAGTAGAAAATGCATGGCAAGGACTGTACTTTTCGACTCTGCTTGGGCTGGGTACCAGTCACTTTCTCATCTGGAGCATCATGTAATCACTCAAGTGCTAGTAATGCTCAGGAGGTTCTTCCTTGAGCTCTGCCGAGCAACTACTGGAAATGGCAATCTTCTTATGACAAATCTCAGATTGCTGATCTCAATCTACTACCTTCTACCACAGGCTTCAGGAATAACCCAATTCTATATATACAGAGAGAAAAAGATGTGGAGAAGGACTACTACTGTCAGCCCATTTCTAGACTTCTAGGAAACTACACAAATGTATTCTAAAGCGTTAAGACACCAGGAATGAGCCGTTCTGGCCCAGCCTTACCAAGCTGTAAGGAGGAACGCCCCATACATAAAGGTGATAATAACTTGGGACACAATAGTGCTTTCCTTTGTTGATGGTCAATTCAAGTCACAACACATATGAACTTCGTCTCTCAGGCTACAAAATACTCCAACTCCAAACCAGGAGGAAGAAGTGTTCATGAATACAACCACGATTAATAACACAAAGAAAATACTGCCTCAGAGAACAGACACAGCTGTTGTCCTTGCGACCTCCAGGAAAGGAGGTGCACAGGTAGAGAAAAGGCCAAGATGCACTGCAGAAGAAAACTTGTCCAGCAAACGATCATTTCCAGGTTCCCTCCCTCTCTTACTATTTAATGGCAGAGGAACAGAACTGCTAGGCGAGGGATTTGGTAATGAAATGTTTTTAATGCACACAGGCACAGGTCCTTGACATGTTTAGAAACAGTATTCTATAAAGGAATTTGATTCCTATAGCCATTCTCTAAGATTTGCAATTTTTTACTGACACTACATGTAAATTACTAAAACTCCAAAAGAAAAATACTGCCAAGTCTTACAGCATAATATTAATCTGCTATATAACTCCATTATCTCTAATTACTAATTAGTATTTAATATAAAAATAATGATATTCAAAGGTCACAACAGCAAGCAGTGCCTACAATTCCTCTGACAGGCTGGGAGACTATTTCTTGTATACTGGTACAAAAACCTAGTTAGATCTTTCAACAATTCCACCCAAGCTACCAGGTCTATTAGGTTTTTCAGGCCCCTCCAAATGCTCATGTCTCAGGACGGAATCACTGTTTGAAATCCTAGAGTCATTCATTCACTACTTCTTAACAAAAACTTACAGGGAGTATGTAAACTGCATTCTTTGTCTCTTGGAGTAAAATGGTTAAGGACAAGGTTACTTAACATTCTTCAAACCACTGAAGTTACACATAAAAGCACCTACAAACTTAGACTTAAAAAGATTCACAGTGCACTGCACCTTGGAACACATGCGGTTGGGTCCGAAGGATGTTGAAAAAGCGATTTCAAAGTC